CAGGCTGCCTTAATAGCTCCGTTGAAAGAAAATACAGAGCATTAGTTTTTAAAAAGGGAGTATTTAGGTAAGAAACTGAAAGGCCAAAACAATTTCAACCCATTAAAATGCAGACAAAATCTCTCCTTTGCAATCTCCTTTAGTATCAAGGGAATAGGTTTTAGAAAGGGTGATTAAGGTAAAAAAATAACACTGCTCACATAAGCCAGAGCTTCTTGAGACCAGCTTCAATATTTTCTAATTTGAGAAAAGGATTCATAAGCACAGTGTTATTTCTATTTGCACTAAACCAATCAGGAGCATTTGGAAAAAACAAACAAACAAACAACATCTAATTTCTTCAAAATGCTTCTTTCATCTCAATTCATCCTTTAAAAGAATTCCTTGTGAGGCTGCAAAGCCAAGCAAGGTTCCCACAGCCAGTGGCAGAGTGAAGGGGGAAGGAGAAGCAGCAACCCCCCTCATACACTGAACACTCCTGCTGGGTTTGCAGTTCTAGGAGTTTTCCCTGAATTTTTCCTTCTTCAGAAACAAGATGGTTGTTTCTCCAACTTGCCCCTGGCAGGGACTGAGCAACAGCCAGGGCTCCCATCCGGGCAGGGCAGTATTTCCCAAGCTCAGTGGAAAAACAGACACTCCGGGGGGTTGCTCAGAGGCTCGGGGGTAACGCGGGGCCCGGCCCAGCGCACATTTCAGGCGGTATTTCCCCCAAACCTTCCCCGCACCGCTCCCATGGCTCAGCCTCTCCGCCCCATTCCCAGGCTGGGGGATGGGTGGGAACCGGGCTCTGCCAAGCCCCGCTCCATCCGAGAAGACTTTCTCCCCAAACTAAAGGAGAGGGAAGCCTTCCCCACCCCACCCCCACGGCCCTCCCTCCCTGTGATAAACCCACGAGCCGTGGCGATGCGATCCCCGAGCAGTGCGTGTCCCTTCCCCCAGGCGAGCACGGGCATACAAAGGAAGCCTCGCTCCATTGTCCACCTCCAGCACCTCCGCACCGAGAGCCTCACCCCCCCATCCCTCCGGCAGCCGCACAGATTCCCGTGCTCACACCCCAAAAAGGTCTGGAGGCAGCGTGTCACCCCCCTCCCCCCTTTAGCACCCGCAGCCAAAGGGCTGAAGTGTGTTTTAACTGTGCTTACTGGCCCGAGATCACCCTCACCCAAACACACCAATCCCGGGTAAAAATCAGTGGGGAAAACCAGGGAGAAACGGCTGGCTGCGAATCTCCTTCCCAAACCCGGGAGCGCAACTCGCCGAGGTAAAAACAACCAAAAAAAGGTAATTAATTCAGCGCCTGCCATTTTTCCCATCCATCTCCAACCAGCAGTACCATAGCAACTTTTTTCCTGCCTTAATACATCTTACAAAAGGAGGACTGGCCAAAATAAAACCCAGGAATGTCAAATTTCCACTGTGGAGTGCCTGTTCCCTCCGCTAGTTATGGCTGGAATTAACCAAACAACCCCGGAGCAGGGGTTTTTCCCCAAAAAAAACCCTGCCTTTGTAAAGCACTGGGTCACAAAACCCGGACTGAGGGACACGACAAACCACCTTGGATACAGATCCACCATCCGGCACGGATCGAGCGGCCAATCTGGGCTCGGGGGGGAGGGGGGTGGTGTAATAAAGGTGGAAAAAGGTGAAGCTCGATTAAAACAGGGCAATTTCGGAGCGATGAGGGTGCGCAGATGAGGTCTGGCTGCTGCAGCAGCTCAGGCCAGGAGGACGGAGGGGGATGTGAGACCCCCCAGTCCTTTCACAGCATAGGCGATCGGGAGCCAGGGAAGAGGCGCTGGGACCTTCCTTTCCCCCCACTCGGTGTCACCGCATCTATTTTTCCCATGGTGACTCATTATTAAGGACGCTCCGTCATTTTTCCAGCGCACGAAGATTAAAGAAGCTTCAAAATCCATTTTTTTTTTCCTGGCGGTGGTGGGATTAAACCAACGTCTGGAGGAGCCATGAGCTGAGCAGGGCTCCTTAATTCCTTCTTCCCCCCTAAAAAATCAGCTTCCAGCGGTGGTTGCATCAACTTGAGAGCATTTCCCGAGGAAAAAGGTGTTGCTGAGGCGGCGGGGGAAAAGCCTCTTCCTCCTCCTCCTCGCAGGGAAAGACGGAGGGAGGAGGAAAAAAAACACAACCATGCAAACAGCTACTACTTCCTTATGAGCGGGATTAACCTATGCAACAACAAAAAAAAAAAAAAAAAGGGAAGAAAAAAACAACCCAGCATGATATAAGGAGTCCAGGGCGCTTCCCGCGTGGAGGATCCCGTGTCTTCTCCGTGGGTTTGTGTGATTTATTTGTTTTAATTTTTTTTTTTTTTTTTTTTTGAGAGTCACGTCCTCGCAGCTGCAGGCGCTTCGGTTCCCACCGCCACTGCACCTCGGGGGAACACGCAGCATCATCCAGGGGCTCCAGACCGGAGGGAAACGCAGGGAAATGGGCAAAAATAAACAGAGAAAACTCCAAGCGTTGAAGAATTATTAAAAAAAAAAAAAAATAAAAAAAAAAGGACTGGCGAACAAGCTGGCTCGGCGCTGCCTCCGGGCACTGGGATCCTCTCCGAGCCGGCGGCCGAGCTCCCCTCGCTGCCGCTCCGCCGTTCCGGGTCCATTTTTGGCCGTTTTTGTATTTCCCCGCTGCGGCCGCGCCGCCGGTCCCGCCATGGCGCGGGTTATTTACAGCGCTGTTTTCCTCCTCCTCTCCACGGGAACCGCCGGCCCCGCGCACTCCTCCCCCCCTTTCCCACGTTCTTCCCCCTCGCTCTCCCCACACGCCGCGGGCCGGCCGGACCCCCCGTCCCGGTGCCCACTCACCGCTTGAAGTGCTCGATGATCTTCTCCTCGCGCACGTTCTCCGGCAGGTTGCCCACCCAGAGGTGCCTGGTTTCCCGGACCATGCTGCGCGGCGCGGGCCGAGCCCTCCGCCCGTGCCCCGGCTCCCGGCCGCCGCTCGCCGCCCGCCGCCGCCTCCGCCGCGCCCTCCGCCCCTTCCGCCGCGGGGCCCGGCCGCCCTCAGCGCCGCCGGCCGCCGGACCGCACCATCCCCGCCGGGGGGGCCCTCTGCCCGCCGGGCCGGCTGCCGGGCGCCGGGCTCGCTCTCCGCCGCGGCCGCGCTCCCTCGCCGGCTCCCCCCGCCGCGCCGCCCGCCCGCTCGCTCCCGCTGCCTCCTCCTGCTCCTCCTCCGGCAGCGGCAGCGCGGCGCCCCCGCCGCCTCCTCCCTCCTCCTCCTCCTGCTGCTGCTGCTGCCCGCGCCCCCCCGCGCTCCCGCTGCTCCGCCGGCCCGGCCGCGCTCGCTCTCCCTCCCTCCCTCTCTCTCTCTCGCGCTCCCCCCCCGCCCCTTCCCTTTTCCCTTCCCTTGCCCGCGCCTCGCGCAGCGCCACACGGGGGCCCCCGCGCAGGCGCACTGCGCCCCGGGGCGCGTGCCGCGGGGCCGCCGGAGGGGGCGGGGCGAGGGCGCGCGACGCCCCCCGCGCGGGGAGGGGGGGGCGGGGACGGCAGTGCGCGTGCGCGGGGGGGCGGTGTGAGAATCGTAACGGGGAGAAATGGGAGAAATAAATATAAGGGGGGATATATAAATGTGACGGGGGGATGTAGGAAATAAATATAATGGAGGAACGTGGGAAATATAATGGGGGCGAGCCACAAGGGGGTGTGTCGGAGTCGGGGGGCTGTGAGAAGCATAACGGGGTCTGCGAGAATTATAAAGAGGGGTTCTGAGAAGCATAACTGCAGCTTTTGAGGCATAACGGGGCTCTGAGAAACATCACGAGGGGCTGTGAGATACAGAACGGGGCGCTGTGCTAGTTGGGGCTGTGAGAGTCATAATGGGGGCTCTGAGAAATGAAACTGGGGGCTGTGAGGAACAGGGGCTGCCCTGCCAGCACCCTGTGCAGCGTCAGGGCACTGCCTGAGGGGCTGCACCCAGCCACGGGGCCCTGCTGACCCCCCCACCAACAGCCCCCCATCCTAAATGCCATCCGCATCCCCAGATCCTGAGGCACAAGCACCTTCAGCCACGGGTGAGCGCAGCCCCAGCTCACTGGGAGAGCAAGGAAGGAATTAACTGAGGTGAGGGCAGCGAGGGCCCCCCGTGGCTCTGGGATCTGTGATGGCTCCAAAGGCCACGGCGACAGGAACCCCGAGTGGGGCTGGAGGGGGCTCACTGAGCACCCCCCTGGCTGCCTCAAACACTCCCCTCCACCAAACTGGGGCGGCCGTGTCACCCCGAGACACCTCCCACCACCAACTTCCAGCTCAGAACACTGGTAATCTGTCAGTGCCCCTTGTTGTGTCCCAAGAACTGCACAGAAGAAACTCCCACCGTGGGGAGGATTCACCTCCTACTCTCCCACGGGGGTTTGCAGAGCTCGTTAATTAAGACGGGGGAAGAAATCACCCACTGCCAGTACCACCCTGCCTGGTGTCACACCATCCCTGCTCAACGTGCAACTAGATGGATTTTTAACCCATAGGATCCTGTTTTCCATCAAAATGTGCCTCCGCACGGATAAAAGCACCTATCTCTAGCCCCAAAAGGAAAATGGCCAAGAGATCCCTAGTGTGAGACTGAGCAGTTTGAGGTCAGGACAAAACACACACCCACAAGTTTTTCAAGCCAGTTCACTGCTTTTACCACAGAGTAGGCCCTATTTCAGTGTTTTCCATGGCCAAAGTCTCCTGATTGAGTTTTAATATTGATCAAATCCACGTTTTATTTGTCAGAGCTGCCTTTTGCCACCTCGGACACTGCAACCTCCCGGCAATGAGTCCACCTCGCCAAGTGGTCAAAGTCACCGGGGTGCAGTGGCTTAACAAACATACAAATCTCTTGATTTAATCACTCCTCTGACGCAGGGCCACTCCAGCCCGGCAGCCCGAGCCTTATCCCGGCTCCGAGCCCATCCCTGGGTGGCCCCGTGCCTCAGTTTCCCCAGCGATGACGGGCTCTGCCCAACTGGAATCTACTGATTAAGTAAAAACCCCAACAACTCCTTTCACCCAAACCATCTATTATTTAAACATGTGATGAAGCCAACGTGCTCCACCGGTGCTTCCAGTGTGGGATTGGGCTCAGCTTTCCATCTCAACTGGTGGAAGCACGAGGAGCAATCTGTACGTGTCTCTGCCTTTAACAGGCTCCCATTCCGGAGAGGAAGAACCCAAACCAAACAGCTTTTCCATGGGGAATTCTCCCTTTCCGATGGAGGGTTCTTGCTGTGGCAGCATTTCCAGCTGTTCCTGCTCCCTGCTGGGGCAGCGTCTCCGACAGACGCGAGGAAAGCACGCCGGCTCCCGGGTCCTTCCAGGGAAGCTCCTGCAGGGTCACTGCTGTCACCCAGTGATCTCACAGGACCTCGGGGCTGGAAGTTGTCACAAACAAAGCCATCGACTCTGTTGACAGAAGAGAGGGTTGAGAGGAGCGCCAGGAGGGCTCCGTTTACAGGACAACCAGCTGGAAGAGGAGCACAAACCCTGGCTGGTGACGCAAAACAAAGCGCTGGCCCATCCAGTGCTTTTCAAACGCTTTGTGGGGAAACTGTTCCCAGTTGCAACACACGAGCGGTGCCGCTGTAACCGGATCCCTCCAGCTCGCTCGAAGATTTTAAAGAACACAGACACAGGCTGGAGAGCAGAGTGAGCAAAACCTCTCTCTCAGCACAGGGGCCGTGATGAAGGGCTGGTCTCCTGCAGCAGCAACCAACACCGCCCTTGTGACACTCACTCGTGCCACTGTCCTGCCATGAGCACGATGAGCATCCAGGGGGGAGACGTGGATGCACATCCCGCTGTGCTGCCCTTCCCAGGGGACAAACAGCCAAGGACAAGGGGACTTGAGCTGCTCTGCATCACCACCTGATAACCTTCAGCCTTTGGGACAATTTAAATGACTCCTGGCTGGGTGTAGCCGAGTGCCCGGCGATCTCCGGCCATGTCGGCCAACCCTGTAGTTACAACAGTTGGATGTTTCTTATCAGCACTTGCAGAGGATTAAAGTGCCAGCCCGTATATTAGTGAGGGAGCAGGTTATAAACCCATCTCAGCTTGAACACCGTGTTCACATGAGGAGAAGCAAAGCAAGAACAGGACAGATCAAAAGAGAGCCATTAAAGGCGTGAGAAAATAGGGCTGCCATATAAGGAGCTAATAAAGTTAGCAGCTCTCCAGTTTAGAGGGGAAAAAGAGGGGGCAGGAGAAGCAGAAAACATCCTTGGGGTCTGCACAGCAGCCTCACTTTGAGGAGAAAACACCAATAAACAGAAGTGAGGAGGAAAAACGCTTGAAAAGGCGAGTTTGCCCGTTTTTAACACGGCATCTTCCCCGGGTGGTGGAGCTACCACGTGTCGCTGGCACCGCTCGCCAAACACTTCCAAAAGCAAAGATTAGATACCGAGCAAGGACAGCAACCAGGGCTGTTTGCTCAGGCTTCCTCCCCTCGGGTCTGGCTCAGCAACAGCTCTGTGTGTTGTGCTGCCAGCTGGACGTGGGGAAGGGATACCACGGCACCCCAGCAGGCACACGATGATCGTCCCCAACAGGGTCCAGGGCACAGCCAGTTTCTCTGCTTTATATAGGAAAACAGGAGGTTTCCCAGCCAAGAGCCCCCCAAAACACTTGGAATGTTTCTTTGTTGGAGCCAGCCAGCTCCAGCCACCATCTTGTCAGGATAAAATGTATTTACGTGCCTTCCCTGCTCATTGACTGTATTTATTAAAAGAACGCTATGGCAGCTGAATATCAAATTCCCAGCTAGGCTTTTATCTCCTTTTTAAGCCAGCCTGAATTATTGGCCTAATTTTATTGCTTACCCATTCTGTTCTATGCTCATTTTCTCCAAGAAGGCACTGGTGTGTTTGATATTTGGGCTCATTTGTTGCCAAGACAGAGGCTCTCGCTTGGAACACAGAGTTGGGTTCTGGAGCCTTAAGCAACACAAAGCACAGGATTTAGATTAATAAAGCTCTTGATTTTGGTTCTTTTTAGAGTCAGCGATCCAAATCTTCACGACGAGATGACTTTTTGCAGAAACCTCCCTCCCTTTTTGAAACCCAGAATTTAGTGATTTATTTTCTTAAATGAATTCTTCCCCATGGTGTTCTTATCCACGCAGTGTCAGGGATGGGAGATGCCACAAAATGCCACCAGTCACCTTCTGCAGCCCAGTAAACACAGCTCAGGAGCCCCTGGAATTCTGTTGACACTGAACCCCTTTGTATCTCTACATAAAAGCACATTTCTGTTTTCAAAATCTTTGCTACAGAACACCAGAGGTTTCTTCAGCAACAGAGCACAGTGAGCTGAGCCACACAAACAAACACCAGGTGCCATAACAGGACTGCAAAAATGCTTCCTCTCACTTCCAGTCCAGCAGATGTATGGAATACAAACCTCTGTTTTTGCCTACTGTTAGGAAAAATTAGAGATATCACCGTGTCAGCTTCTGCCCTGCTTCCCCTTGCCCCCCAGCTTCAGTACAACCATGTGCCAGAGAGCAGTGTCCACCCATCTGACAAGGATTCTTCCCAAATGCAGGGCTTTCATCAGCTAGACAGGACTATGGTCTTCCAGGCAGCAAAATATTACATTTCAGGGCAAAACCAAATAAAACAAATGTAAAAAAAAAAAAAAAAGCCATGTGATTTGATATCCAAACAGGAAAACTGCAAAGGATATAAATCCCCTAGGACTGGTTAGATCACTAAGTCCTGTACTTTGCCATTTATAACATCTAATTGTTGTATTAAATCTACATCAAAATGTAATTTTTTCCTGTGTGCAATGCCCAGGGGGGGGAGGAAATCACAGAAATCAGGCTGGAAATGTTGTAGGGCAAGGCTTTAACACAACCCCCCAGTCCAAACCTTCGAGCCTTAGGCTGCTCTTCCCACATTCCCCGTTGGACTGATCAGCACACCCAGCACAAAACAAACACTGAGCCACCACCATCAGAGCTTTTGTTTCATCAAACACCATTTTGATACCGCAGCAACACGAGGGTGTTTAAAGGAAGCAGAGTGAACCCGTGTCCTTGCAGTTATCGCTCCTTCACTCCAGAGAAAGCACAAAGGGAAATATTTGTGCATCGAGACCTGCTGCTCTCAGAAGCCTCTCCAGCAACACAGCACAGGAGAAGTTTCTCAGCTGCCTTTGGATTTCATTTCACCTCTGCAGATCTCACAGTGCAGCATTTTAACTCTGGGATAACAGGAAAGCTTGCAAGACCATGCTTTCCCCCTGTATGGAGGAGGAGTGGAGGTTCGTATCACTTTTTGGCACTAGAAATCCAGGTTTTGTTTAGCTTGGAAGTGCCCATGGATGTAGCTCAAGTAAGTCTTCAGGGTGGTAAAAGTTCAGTACTCATAAGGTAATTCTCACTCGTTTATCCTAAACTGCCAAAGGAAAGTAATTCCAAGTCCCACAGGGTGTGCCAGGCTGAAAAATGTGGAATCATCCCAACAGCCAACTTCTTGTTTCTCTGAACCTCCCTGTGACGAGCACGAGGCGTATCTCCAAACCAACACAGCCCTAAGTGAAGAACAACATTAATATCCCCGTCCATGCTGCCTTATTCCAAGTACAAACGAGTCTTTAGGCACAGGAGCTGCTGACGGTGTTCCCACACCAGCTCCACTGCAGGGAGCAAGGGATGAAACGTGGCCTGGCCACCTCATCCTCCCCCTCTGCCTAATTTTGGCCAAACAAGCATAAAGCCATGGCTGTGCTACAAACCACTGCAGCAACCAGGCAGGGAAATCATTTCTCATAAGGGGCTGCTCCAGCGTGGCAGGGCCTGGTCTGCCAGAGGCATCCGTGCAATCCTGATGGCGATATCCTCATTAAGGGCTAACGAAGCCAGCACTCCCTGTGCACTAATGACCACGGGAGCTGCGCCTTGAAGTCATGTGTGACCTGGGAGAGACCAGCACCAGGTGCCTTTTATTACCTTTGCAACGCAACAAAAGGAATTACACCCCGTAAGGAAGCGTTTTCCTTCTTCCCAGGGAGCGAGGAATGGAGTAATAAACCAGCAACATCTTGTGGGAGTGAGTTCACAGAGAAAAAAAAAAATACAGTTCAAGGGGACCCTGATCTTCACCAACACAATTTGGGACGTTCAGCACTCCCTCCAACCTCCACTACCTTCGCCTGAGCAAAATTAGGAGGAATAGACTATGGCACGTAGGTCTGTTGGCTTGGAGGGAAAGGGGCCCCACAGTTTTGCTCCCTGGAGGCACCCGCTCTCCCCACCCCTTTTGTGTGTATTTTTTTTAATGTGCCACACATCAGCACAATGCTGACAAGGGCTTTGTATGTTTTCTGCCTATGCAGCAGTTCAAGACACACAACTCTGGATTTTTTGAAAGGGGAAAGGGGGAGGGAGCTGCCCTTTGCTGTGCTGGTTAATTGCGCGGTTCGCTCTTCTACGTGACCACAGGGAAGGGAAAAAGCACCGAGCTTTAAACACAGAACCATTTTCAGCAGCCAAAAGGGTCAAACTCAGTCTTCTCACAAGATGCAGTGGAGCTCGGAGTAAAATCCACCACAGGCAAAAAAAAGAATTATAAATCACCAGGGTTTCTTCTCTGGACTTGGATGTGACCCCAGAAAACAGCTCATCCGTCCTCGCTCCCTGCAGTTACAGCCTCCACGTTTCCACACCTGCCAACGCAGAGATTCCAGCCCTGAAAAAATGGAGGGAAAGGGTCTGGAAAGCTGGACTGTCGGTTTTTCCACCTGCCAGGAGCAGCTCAATGGAGCCTGGGTGGCTCAGCTCCAAGGAGCAGTGAGCGGAGCACGTTACCAGCCTTCTGGAGTTCCCATCTCACACGCACATGCGTGATAACAGACAGCACTGGCAAACAGCTTCCTTCAAAAATAAGGATGACTAATCCCCAGCAGTGCCACTTTATTTTATTTATTTTTTTAAAAAAAGGCCACAAGGCAGAGCTTTTTCCAGAAGCATCAGCCTTTGTGAACCAGCAAGTGGTGGGAAGGGGAAGCCCTGGGACCCACTCGTGGTCTCCAGACAAAACTAACCACAGGAATACTGTGGGGTTTTGTGGCCCGTGTATGACACACACGGACATGGATGGAGCCTCACACTCATGGAAAGGCTGGATCCCACTGCCCAGGAGACTCACAGATCCCTGCGTGGTTAGTAGCGATCTGCTGGGGAGAGGGGTTACACAAACAACCCACTATTTCCCCAGGAAATAAAAAAAATTTAAAAAGAGAGAAAAACTAAGGCATGAAACGGCTTTGCCCACTGTAACACTGTAACATCCCCCTGGGTGAGGGAAGGGATGCATGGGGAAAAAAGGGATGCAGGGATCTGGGATGAAGAGGAGCATCTGCATTGCCTGGTGGGCCCAGTCCCCCAGCAAGGTCACTCTGGCTCCCAGGGAGACACATCAGTGCTTCAGTGCAAAGCTGTGGTCGAACTGCAGCGCTGCAGGAGGTCACTTGGGGACTGCAAAAAGGGAATGGATTAAAAAAGGGAATTAAAAAAAAAAAAATCCATAAGCAGATGTTTACTGACGTGCAGCAAATCCACAGCTCTGCTCAGGAAAGCTGCGTGGTGGGAGGGAGAACTGCCCAGTTCCCAGGACACAGCAAATGATCTGCATCTACAGATTTAGGTTACAGCTTTTAACCATCCCTCCCTCATACACCCCCCTCCCCCCCCCAAAAAAAACCCCAAACAAATTCGTCATCTTTTTAAGCTCTTAGAAATGTAGATTTGCCACCGAGGTGATTTTGGGAGGTGGCACCATTAAAATACTTACCCACCTCACAGCCAAGGGCTGTGCAATCTGAAATTTGTGTTTGCAAATGGTTTGGAAAGCTTTCCAAGGAAGGTGCTGTAGGATTGTAAATCCTTCCCGTTATTAATAAAAGGGAGCTATTGTTCCAGTTCTAATCAAGCCTTGTCTCCAGCTGGGCAATTTTAAAACGCAATTCAAAACACACACAGGAAAAAAAGATTGTGAGGAAGCTTAAAAAAAAAAAAAAGAGGAAAAAAAAAAGAAAACTCAACCAAAAACTCAGTGAGGGAGCAAGGGGAGGGGGAAAAGAAAATAAAAAATAATGCTCCTGCTATTTAAAATGAATTCCAAGCAGGAGCATGCTGGGGTGGGAGGGGAATCCTCCCTCCCACCGTCTGGGAAAGGTCACTTGTGCCATCGGTGCCCTGGCCACGCTGCCAGCCCTGCCCTCATCCATCTCCATCAGCAATAGCTCTGCTTTCCATTTATTCGGGGGAAAAAAAAAAAAAGATTAAAAAAAAAATCGAGTTGCAAACACCTCCCAGCGCTCTGTTTTCAAGGCTGGGGGAACAGAGCGAGGGGGAGAGGCTTGGAATGAGGCTCCCAGCCAGGGAGAGGTGGTGCATCCTCCGCATCCTCCTCCTCCTCCTCCTGCCCGGCGCTGCGGCAAAGGCGCTGCAGTGGGGGCTCCCCGCCCCCGTGGAAGCTTCTGGAATAAGCAGCCAAACTGGAGAGGGGAGAGAAACCCTTATATCCGCAGAGGGGAAAAAACACGTAATAAAAGGGAGAGGATTGCACAAGGCCGGGGGAAAAAAACCAGAGATCTCTGTAAAAGTGAAGCCCCTGAGCGGCTCTGGCAGCCCCGGCTCGGGGGTGGTGCAGCCCCGCTCGGCTCGGAACAAAACACCCCAACAAAGCACATTAAACGAAAAAAAAAAAAAAAAAAGGAGAAAAATGGTGGTGTTTGGAGCGCGAGATGGTGGGATAAAGGCGCTGATCCCTCCTCCCGGATCTACAGCAAAGCCGGCCATTGCAGTTCCATTTGTCCTCTTTTTTTTGTGCAATGAACTGTCTGATCCTGACTATTCGGCTGCATTTGCAGCTTCACTTACAAGTTTGGTTTTGTGGTTTTGTTGTGCCTTTTTTTTTTTCCCTTTTTGTTTCTTCTTTTATTGGGTTGTTTTGGGTTTTTTTTGTTTTGTTTTTTCGTGTGTGTGTGTGTATTTTTTCCTTTTTTTCATTAAAAAGTAATCCTCCCCAAATCTCTCAAGGAAAATCTACATCTCTGTGGAACAAATAAAATATTCAGACACAAACTTCCACCATGGACTGTAAAAAAAAAAAAGATGGGTTGTTTTTTGTTCTTTTTCTTTTTTAATTTTTACTTTTTTATGGCATCTTTTTCTCCTGCTTTTAGGATACATTGTAGTAGAAAGCCAATGGAGGAAAACAAAGGTAATATATATAAAATCAAAGATATATATGGGCCAGATTATAGTGATTATATATAATTAAATCATAGTTTTTAGGTGTGTGGGTTTATTTTATATTCAAAGCAGTCCCCGGAAAAAGGAAATATACATATAAATATGCAGTCAATATATAGAATATTTATATATGTATGTAGTAAATATATAGAAATATTTCTATATCTGTAGAAATAATAGAGCATCTATATGGGCCTAAATCTGTAATTCCATGGGGAAAAAAAGCAGTATTTTAGGCATGTAGCTTTTAACACAGAAGGGGCAACATTATAGCCTGTAACAACACTGTGATGCAGACAAAAAGGTAAGGCAACATTAAAAAATATTGGAAAAAAACCGAGGAAAAAAAAAAAAAAGTATGTGGTACCTTGGCTGCAGCCTCCAACAACGAGCGTGTGGATGTTACGGGATTTTGAGTTTTTTATGGTATTACCACGTCTGATCACACCAATATATGATTTTAATTAAGCGAATGGTTGGCGAGCTGTCGTGGGGAGCAGGCGAGCGGCGATGGCTTCTTCCCACACCACTCCGGCTCCGAAGATAAATCAGTCCTCGGCTGTTAGGGGATTTTTCCTTTTTTTTTTTTTTTTTTCCCCAAGCACGTTTGGGTATTTTCCATGCCGTGAGGAAAGCGGGAGATGGCGGCTCCGACCCCTGCGAAGGAGAAAAGCGGTGCAAAAGAACAAAATTAGACATTAAACTACCCACCTTGGGGTGCGTGTGGTGATGATGATGGGGGGAGGGGGTGGGGCGCGTGTGAAAAGCGGAATTCTGGGGCCAAAAATGAGGCAAAATATACAATATTTTAGGGGTAACGCCAGGACGGGCTGAGATGGGGGGAGAGGCAGCGATGGCGCCTGAGGCGGGGAACGGCGGAGGGGGGAGAGCTGAGGCGTGAGGGGGAGAAGGAGGGCTCCGCCATGACCGAGTGAAAATGCGCATTTCTGGGCATTTTCACATCCTTTTGCAAAGGCGGCGAGGCAAAAAGGAGGGAGGGGGGGGGGAAGAAGGTGGTCAGGTTTCACCCGCAGCGCTTTCGCCGCCTGCCCGGAGGGGATTCGCGCAGATCAGAGGCCCTCCGCCGTGCTCCTGGCACGGCCTCAGCCCGCGCCCGCCATGCCGGCCCCACAGCCGCCCCTCGCCCGTCCTTCCCCTCGCTGCCCGCCGGCCGCCATTTTGTCGCCTCACACCGCCGGCCCGCCGGGCGGCCATTTTGTGAAGCGAGGCGGGGGGGGGGGTGCAGCGCCTGAGGCTGCCGTGAGGGGCAGCCCCGGCCGCCGCCTCCTTTTGTCAGCCAAAACCCTCCTTTTAGCCTTTATTTCTCTTTTTCTTCACAAATCTCTCTTTTTCTTCACAAAACATATAGCCCTTAATACCTCATCAGAGCCTGATCGCTTCAGGAAGATCCATCCTCTGACGAAGCAATCCAATAAATGAGATTAAAGTATATTCCCCAGGCTGGGCTGTGAGGGAAAGTTTAGCTGCACGGAGAATTAGGAGATACATTATTATATTATTATAATATTATGTATTTATATATTGATGATTATATTTTATGCTTCACTCTTCGCTTTTCCACTGCTTTTCTCCTTTGCAGGGGTTGAAGCTGCCACTATTTATATATTATTCCTCATCCTTCTCCTCCACCTTTTTTCCCAGTGATAAATCCCTGAGGTCAATAAGCCACCTTGACAAACAGGATAACCTCTGTAAGAAATATCCATGTTTTTTTAATAAAACACCTCACAGGCTCTACTGGACACTCCAGCAAAATAAAGATGTAACTTAAACTACTCGAAGCCAAATCTGGGTGAAAATTGTTAATTTTCAGGAAATAAGGCTGCAGGATGCTGTAAATTGCTGATACGATGAAGGAAATCTGAGATACAAAATGACAAAACCTCACTTGCAGGCGTGTGCTGTGTGTCTATTTTCAGAAATAGGGTGGGTTGGGCTTTTTATCTGTTGGTTTGTTGGGTTTTTTTATAAATAAGCCAGTGTAGCACTTGCAGCCTGGTAACGCGCTTGCGCATCAGCCTGCATCCCTTTTCCCTCATGTTATCAAAACTGATGTGCTTTAAAACTACATCAGTGGGTGGTTCGCTTTTGCAAGGAAAACTGGGGGAAAAAGGAGGCTATTAGAATATTACTTTTTTTGCCTTTTTTTTAAATATATATCCCACCTGTGCTGCATAACGAAGCCAGAGAAATCCAGGGCTTGGCTGGTCCCAACATGATCCCTGCTGGTTTTCCCTTGTCTCTCTTAGCCAGCAGGATCAGTCCACTTTTCATTTAAGAAATGTTAGATTTTTAGGTTGTGTTGGTGACAGGAAAGTGCAGGAAATAGATCTGAACACCCTGTGGGGAAGAACAACACTGCAGCGAGCCAGCTGGCATGTGGCTACCATTAACCTGGGATGCCCAGAGGAAAACTCTGGTTTTCCTGCAGCTCTTTCCATCCTATGCGAGAAAACCAGCACCCAACCTGCTCCCAGCACCTTTTCCAGACCCTTTCCCTGGTCACTGTTTCAGACTCAGTTTCCCTTCCTGCAGTGTTTCCTTCTGCTTCAGCTCCTTCCCAGCACCTTGAAAGTCGTGATGGCACTGCAAAGGCACACAAGGAGTACAGCTCATCCGTCCATCTCCAGTTCATCCCTCCCTCTGCTTTTCCCATTTCTCCTAGCTGGCCAAGGGGATGCTGGAGGGAAAGGCACTTTCCAGCCTTTTCCCTTTATCATCTCACATTCCTTGTGCCACACCGAAAATCTCCAATTTGCCAACAAAACCTGCAGAAAGGTCTTTTTTCGCTACGAAGCAACACTTTAACCACTGATTTAAAACCACTACAGCCGTGCCTGGCAGCTCCTTCTTTAATTTAAAACCTCTTTTTAAAAGTCCAAGCTGCAAGAAGGATAATCTTGGGAGGTTTTTTTTATGGGATGCACTGTTGTATTCCCGGGAGCAACTTGGCCTCGCAGCAGAGTAGGATATCGGATGCCTTCGCTGGGAAAGCCCGAGGAAATTTTATCCGCAGCCGCACCCAGCCTGGAGTGAAGAAATATTTGCATTTGCTGCTCCTTGGAGGGCAGCCAGGTCCTTCCCGCTCTCCTCAGCCTGCCAAGAGGGATTGCAAGGACTGCCGGGCTTATTCCAGCAGCCAAGGGAAGGGCAGGGCCCAGCCGCTGGCGTTCGGAGGGGTGGGATCCTCTCTGCCCTTGTCCACTGCCACCGGGATGAGAAACCTCACGTGGTTTCTACACCTGGGTGGTCTTGAGGGGTTCCACAAGGCTTTGGGGAATCCCACACCCCCCCAAATCCTATTGCTCCACGTGGGTTGTGCTCGGTTCATTTTTGCCAGCAAACCTGGGCGCTCGCAGAAGTGCTCGTGACAGGGTGAGCAGCTCGAGGATGGGCTGAGCTGTCACAGCCGGCGAGGGTTTGCCTGGCAGCAGGACAGGACTCAGCTCCTCAACCTCACCCCTGCAGGATCTCTCTCCTGCACGCAGCTCCAAATTCCTCGAGATCCTCCCCAGGGAAAGCACGGGGCTGTGCTTTCCTTAGTGACGCTCCCCATGCCTCGGCTCGTAACGCTTCTCCCTTATCCGGGCAGAGAAAGGCTTAGATCAGCCTTCTATCCTCTTACCTCCGTGTCCATCCATCCCTGTCCCTTGTCATCCTCTGCTCCTGGAAAAACATGCCAAATCTGACCATTCCTGCATCCCTTTGTTGCGCCGCCAAACTCTCCAGCTGTGCCTTTCCTTTCTCCTCGCTTTCCAGGACCTTCTCCAAGGCTTCGTGTCAATAAAAGCATTTCCCTGCCTCCCTCCAGCCAAAACTCACTGCAGTCCCGCTGCCAACAGCCCGTCTTGGGTTGCTTTGTGAGGGAAATATCCAACCCCTTCCCACCATTCCTCTGTGGAGGGATAGCACAGCTTGGAATAACACACCCAAAGCACCTCTCAGCGTCAGCACTTCCATCCTCCCCAAAAAGCTTACTTGGAAAAATACCCTTATTGCACAAAACCAAGCAACTCCTGGGCCTTCCCTTTCCTGCTCCCCTTGGCCACCACCACATCTTTTTACTTCTTTTAGTATCGTTTTGATGCCTGGTTTTCCCTACAGAACGACAAACTTTGGAGAGAGAGAGCTGACTTTGAGCACGAGAATTCCACGGCACGGGACACGAGGTTCCCACCCAACCAGACCCAAAGCCACCAACCTACGTGACCGGGACAAACCGCAACTTTAACATCTTATTTATAAATTTGTTTATAGTGAGTTACGAGCTGATTGATGGGCCGGAGACGCTCGTTAACGAACACTGAGTAATCGGCTTTGTAGACGGGAAGAGTTGTCAGGAAATAGTTGTTGATGTGATTAATTAACCATCATTAACCCCTTCATTCATAAATACAGCACGCACCAGAGAGATGTCGGACGTGACCCAGGAGCCCAGAGCTGCTGCTCTGGTGCTGGTTTTCTTTGTTTCCAGCTCCCTGTTTCCATCAGGAAAGCATTAAACATCATCTCACATGCTCTTGCTCTTTTCTGCTCTCGATTTGTGGCTTTTTAAGCACTTTCGGTTAAAAAGAAAGTTGAGATGTTTCTCCGCCTGGTTTGCAACGCCCTCGCAAACAAAGCCACCCAGTGCTGGTGACATCGGTTGTGCAGATGTTGGACATGCAGAGGAATGGTCTAATTTTGGCTGGTTTGGGGCATGGACTAAGAGAAGATCAAAAGGTTTCCGATGACAGAGTGGTATTATCCTGAATAACGTGCAGAAAAGGGGCTGTTGGATGCATTTAGCTGGAGTTTTGCTGCCTGATGGAGGAATTTGTTCTCCAGCTGCCCTCTGCTGGCTCCAGGACAGACAGGCAGCAAAAAAACCCTAAACCACTACCTAAAACCCTTTTATCAACCCCATGAGATCACCAAATCCCAAATCCACCCCCAAAAATCAACCTTGGCTCTCCCCCAGGTGACAGCGGCATCTGCCAAATAGCTGTACCCCAAAATCAACTGTTGTGGGCCTGAGTGACCTGACTTGCCATGCCTATAAAATCCAAAAAGTGGATTTTTTTCCTTATTTTTAAACTCAGATTTGATAGGTTTGGAATGCAGGGCGGATGAAAGGAATGCGAGTTTTTAGACTCGGGGTTTTATTTAACTGCAAGTAACTAAATCAGTGCCCGCTCTCCACAGAGAGACACATTTCAGTGAAACCCCAAAGAGGCTCAAGAAGGAAGAAGAAACACCCAAGAAAACCAAACTGGCCTTAAAAAAGGAGTTTAAAAAAAGAAATAAAGAATAAAACCTCTGCTCTGCCACTGCTGCTCTGTCAGGCCATTTCATGTTCATGGTGAGTGCAGGGCTGTGTCGGGATATATCCACGCTGCTCCCCCGGCCAGCCCTGGGGGTCAGGGGCCCAGGTATGTTTTGGAGATGAAAACACCAGTTCTGCAGGAATTTTGGGGTGCAGCAGACACCCAGGATCACCCTCAAAACACCTCCTTTGTGGTGTCTGGCACTGGACGACAGAGATGGGTGAGCCGTGGGGTCTCAGCAGGACGACTCGTTCCGCCAGTGGATGTGGCAGGACTTGCAGAGGAGGTGGCTGTCCAGGGGGTAGCACCCATTCTCTGTCAGCTCCGGGGACAGCGGCGTCCCGCAGCTCTGGGGGCGAGAGGGGAAAGGCACAGCATGTTTTAGGGGGTCCTCATGTTGTGTCACACCCCGTTTTCCTGCAAAGCCCACCAGCGCTCGGAAAAAGCAACAAACCAGATCAAAAGCCTGCGAAGCCGAAGGTCTCCTCCAGGTGCATCATCACCACCACCCCTTGATTGATTGATTTATTTATTTATTTCCCCATCCCCATCACTTGCAAGATAAACTGTGGGATAAAAAATTACCCCGGGTGCTGCAGACCCCATGCCAGCCAAGGCTCAGTGTCCACCCCAGCTCTGGGGGTCCCCAGCCCTGCCAGGGCCGTACCTCGCAGCGGTAGCAGCTCTCGTGGAAGCTGCGTCCCAGGCACTCGATCTTGTAGGTGTCCTTGTCCTCAGAGGGGACAATGGGGCGCTCGCAGGCGCTGCAGACCGCGGCGTATTTCCTGGAGGGGGCAAACAGGAGTGGTGTGAGCCCTGTGGGGTGACAGGGACAGCCAGAGCCCAGCCCCCAAACCCCAGCTCCCAAACCCCAGCTGGGGGACGCTCCCCCATTGCCAACCTGTAGAAGTCGGGCACACAGTACACGTCACCCCTCTCGTCCACGGCAAAGCTCTCGGCGCCGATGGCGCGGCTGCAGCCAGCGCAGGAGAAGCAGTCGGGGTGGAAACCCTTGCCCAGGGCACGGACGATGCGCTCCGTGATCAGCCCCTGGCACTTGGCACATTTCTCCAGCGTGGCCTGGGATTTGGGGAACACACGCCATGAGATGCCAGCTCCCGCCCCGAGGGTGCTGGCTGTCCCCAGGGAGGAGGGTACCTGGTAGCAGGTGTCACACAGGGGCTGCCCATCCCTCTGGAAGTAGCGCTGCCCGGCCAGGAGCCGCTGGCAGGTGCGGCAGGTGAAGCAGCCGGGGTGGTACTGCTTCCTCATCGCCTCCACCATCGGCTCCCGCGGCCCCAGTGCTTTGTGGCAGAAGGCACAGATGTCTGCAGGAAGCAGGGACAGGGGTTTGGAGTCGCCTGGCTCAGTCTCCTGAACTCGGGATGAGCCTGTGCCAGCTTTGTCCCTCCGCCCTTACCTCTGGAGCTGTCCCGCTCAGGGTACCCGTTGGCATCCTGCCACTGCGGCTTGTCCGCTTGCACCTGGCAAAGCTTGGGCGGCTTTAATTCAGCAGGGAAGGAGGAGGGGGCCTGCAGAGCAGGGGAAGATGAAGCCATGTTATCTGTGCTCCTGCATGTGGGGAAACTGAGGCACTGGGAGGTCTGCACCCCATTAAACTGAGGCACTGGGGGTCTGCACCCCATTATCCTCACCTGGAGGGTGGCGGGTGCCGCAAGGTCCAGCTGCTGCAGTGCCGGACACAGCGACTCTGCAGACAAGGGCTGGGGGGCTTCGGAGAGGATGAGGACCGGTGGGAATGAAGGCACAGGCACAGTTGGATGGGTTTCTGCAGCAAAAGACAGATGTAGGGCATTTAGGGGAGCGATAATTTCCCACCATGATAACACCCCGTTGCAACAACGCCCCGACAGCTCTGCAGCTGCGTTCACCGACCTGCCCCAAAAGCAAACGCCGTCCCGACTGAGGGGACAAACAGCACCGATAAGTGCCTGGCAGTGGAGAGCAAACACAGCCCTTCCCTGGCAGCCGGATCCATCCTGGGATGGGTGCAGGGATTTTGGGAATAACCTCCCAAACCCGCCCCCCCAGCATCCCCTCCTGCCTGCGTGTCCTTTAGCAAAGCATCTCCACAGCATCCTCAGCACCATCATCATCCTCTCAGCACCGCTTGCAGCCCCCCATGGACACCCCTCACCTCCGTTGGGCAGTGTGGGGGGCGACAGCGGGATCGGGGGGCGGTGGGTGCCGGGGTCCTCAGCACCACCCGGCTCTGGCTCCTGGTGAGTTTTCTCCTTGTTGGCCACGTCCCTCCGTGGTGGCACCAGAGTGATGAAGATGGATGAAGCCATCCTCTTCTCTGCCTTCCCTGGCAGCATCTCTGGAGCCGCGGAAGGGCCGGACCTGGGGTTGATTTTAGAGAAAATGAGGTAAAGCTCGCAGGCGCCCCAGCAGCTCCTGCAGCCGTGCTGCCCTTCGGCATCAACCCGCCTCCCTCCTCCCGGAAAGGGAGAAGGAACGAACGTCCCAGTCCCACGTCACGGCAGTAAATGGTCTGTGCCTGGGAGGACACAGGGCAAAGGGTCCTGGTGAAGCAGCAGCCGGAATCTCCCATTCTCACGCCTCTGTGGCCAAATCCCGCCCTTTTATAAGCATTTCAACACCCTTTATTTCCTCTCAGTGCTCCCACCTGGGATTATAGTCCCTGTGGGCAGCAGGAAAAACCCCACCTTTCCTCTCAAAAATGGGGTTGCGATAGGACTTTGCCTTTGCAAAGCCTTTTTTGGAGTGTCTCGACATCCCCAGTCCCTCCCTCCTTGCCCTCGGTTCCCAGCTAATCACTTCCAGCACAGTGGAACCCCTTTATTTTTCCAGGTGGGGAAACTGAGGCACAGTGCTCTGAACCACCACGTCCCTGTCACCGACACAGCCCCCAGCTCAGCCCCGGCAGGATGCGCCTGACCCCGATAAACCCCGCTCAGGAAGGAACAGGGCTGGCTCTTCAACTTCCCAATGGGAAAAACAGCCGGGAGGAAGCTTCGCCTTCCCAAATGGAATGGTTTGGAGGGGCTTTAGCCATGGCACTGCATTGGTGAAGCAGGATTCACCCCGGAGGTCAATCAGCAGCTTGAAAAATACCTGTGTGGTGAGTTGCCCGGTCTCATGGGGCTCCGCTCCCCCAAAATCCTGCTCATGGGGATCAGCACATCCTCTCAGGGGGGCAGCCAGTTCCCCTCGAGGTGGGGGGAAAGCTTCGGGATGGTCCCGCCGGTGACTTCAGCCTCTGACTCAAGCAGGAAAGGGATTAAAGAGGAAAAAGAACCCGGAGCACTTCTCTCCCTCCTCCCCTCCCTCCCCAGCGGCGAAACCCCGGCCGGGCTCCGGCGCTGCCGGCCCGCGCCCAAATCCTCACCCTCCGGAGCCGCCGCTTTTCCTCCTCCCCGGCTGAGCTGCGGAAAATTAGGGGAAAAAAGAATATTCTTTAAAAAAACCCAAACAACCTAAAAAAGAAAGAAAGAATGAAAGAAAGAAAAGATTTCTCCGGGGTTAATGGGAACCATGTGCTCGTCGCATTCCTCTTTGTGCCGGGGCTGACGGGATCCCGGCGGCCCCACGGCGGCCCCCCCCGGGTGCCCCCCAAACGGGGGCCGTCGGGCCTGTCGAGGCTCCAGGGGTGCAGTAATGGGGGTCCTGCCCCCTTTTTGTGGGGTTCCCACCCCTCCCCACGTAGCTCCATCCTGGTTTGGGGGGCTGAGGCCACATTAGAAAAGGCCCCTCTGGCTTCCCTAAAATCTCCTGGGGTGGGGGCTCCGGTGGGATCCATGAGGGGCCACTTTTGGGGCATCTCCAGGCCCCCAAAATTGGGATGGGGCACAGATCTTTACAGCTGTGTTCCCTGTCCCAGGGACCTCTTGGAGGGTGCTGCGAGGATGCCCAAGGAAAAAGGGATAGGGTGGGGGGACACAGCGCTTGGTGTCCCTTTGTCTCCCCCGTCCAGTGGTCCCACTGTCCCCTTGTCCCTGACCTGGGGGGTGGCCTTGCAGTCCCCCTCACTTATTCCCTGTCTCCCACCGTGCAGCCCCACAGCCCCCTTTCCCTACCTGGCTGTGCCCTGTCCCCTATGGGGCGGGGGCCCCCCGCGACCCCCTGCCAGGGGGCCTCTCGTCCCCTCCCCGGGAGTGTCCCCAATCCCCTCCTTGGAGGTGGCTCTTGGTCCGCTTGTCCCATCCCGGGATGGCTCTGCGGTGCTTATCCCATCACCTGGAGGGGTCCCGTGTCCCATTTGGGGTGTCCCCTGTCCCCTCTTTGGAGGATCCCCAATCCCGCACCTGGGGTGGTCCCTACCTGGGGGTGGCCTCAGTTCCCTACCTGGGAAGGTCGTACCTTGCGGGGGGAGGTTCCCCGCCCGGGGGGGGTGTCGCCTGCCCGGAGGTGGCCCTGCAGCCCCTCGGGGGTTGCCCTGTCCCCGGCCCTGTCCCGTACCTGGGGAGCCGCTGCGGGTCCCTCCGTGCGCTCCGCGGGCGCCGGCGGGGGCAGCGGGGAGGCAGAGCCGCCCGGCATCACCGCCCCTTCCTCCCTCCTCCTCCTCCTCTCTTCCTCCTCTCCCCGCCTGCCCCACAGTCCCGGGCCGGGGAAGGCGGGGGGACTCGTGTCCTTAGGGTGCCCGGTGCACCCTGGGGTGCCTCACAGGTCCTTAGGGTGCTACACGCACCCCGTGACCCCTCCATGCACCCCAAAGTACTCCATGGGACCTCAGGGTGCCTCGTGGACCCAAGGGTGCACCATATGTCCCCACGGTGCCATCTGGCTGTCCCATGGCCCCTCGGGTGCCCCTCTGTCCTCTGGGATGACCCACCCTCAGTCTGTCCCTTGAGCTCCCCCTGACTGCCCCAGGCACCCTCAGGGTGCCCCGTTACCCCCCATCCCCGGGGTGCCCGTGTACCCCAGTACAGCCCCACGTGCCCCTGGTGACCCCACGGACCCCCAGGAAAACCTCGACCTCCCTACCCATCCCCAGGCACTCCCAGCAGCCCCCATGGAACTCCATACACCCCCAAAATGCCCCATACCGCTTCTATGGACCCCTGGGACACCAGTGTGCCCCCACAGAGCCCCAGGCTGCCCCATATACCCCTAAACAGCCCCGGGTGCCCCCTGTGCACGAAGGCACCCCCCAGTCAGAGGGTGACCCCCACTCTGAACCTCAGTTTCCCTTTCCAGGGAGGAGCTGCACCCCCCACCTCCTCCCACAGAGCTGCACCGTGGCTGTCCCCGAGCCCCTCTCTGGCACAACAGAACACTCGCTCTGGCCACGGATTTTGCTGGAAAAAACTTTATTTTCCAAGATTTGGGGCCCCCCTGGAGCCCCTGCGCTGTGACAGTGTGGCCCTGCAGCCGGTGAGGACGGGACATCCATCAGCATCCTGCAATCCCAGCGGGACCAGGGAACAACCTCCAGCAGTGCTGCAACCTCACAGAGTCCCCAAAAACCAGGGGCCACACGAGTCTTCCCCCCCGACCTCCTCCATCCCATGGGACGGGGTCGGGCACCCTCTGGGAGCCCTTTCTCCTCAGTCCCCGTGGGGAGGATTTTGGGGGTGCCAGGCAAAGCCACCTCGAGTCTCTGCCGTCTGGGTACACCCCGCGGCTCATCCAGACGTTTCCTCCGATCCGGATCCCAGCTGTCTGTCCCAGTGAGGCTGCGGGCTGGAATCCTAAGGGAGCAGGGAGAAGAGGAGCAGAAAGGCCCCTCGCCGTGGCCTCGGGGCTGCCCCCGGCCCTCACCCCGCACTGGTGCCCCCCGGCTCACCTGCCCGCGGCAGGACTGCAGCAGGACCCCGGCGCGGAGCAGGCACCACAGCTCCCCCAGCAGCGACACCAGCACGTGCAGGATGTCGCTCCATCGGCCCACCGTGAGCAGGAGGATGAAGAGGCCGCCCATCCGCACCAGGACCGTCCGGAACACCGGCCCCCCATCTGCGCTCTGCCGGGCCTCCTCTGCAGGGACACGGCGCTGGAGACACCCGGGGGACACTGCGCCCTCCCCTGACCCCATAACGGGGACACTGTGCCCTCCCCAGAGCCATAACAGGGACACTGTGCCCTCCCCTGACCCATAACCAGGGGGACACTGTGCCCTCCCCTGACCCCAGAACAGGGACACTGTGCCTTCCCTGGCCCCACAAGGGGCCATACAGCCTCATACAACCCCAAAATACCCCATATACTGCCCCATATACAGGATCCCCCACTCTCTGACATCCTCCATTCACCCCAAACCCAGTATGTGGGGTACCCCATATACCCCCCATACAACCCCAAAATGCCCAAACAGCCCCATACACCCACAAAATGCCCCCCATACACAGGATGCCCCACTCTCTGACACCCCCCCTTCATCCCAAACCCAGTACATGGGATGCCCTATAAATCCACCACACACCACATATACCCCCATACACTCCTAGGATACCCCACCCTCTCCCAAAACACCCCATACTGCCCCATATACAGGATCCCCCATCCTGTGACATCCCCCCTTTCACTCCAAACCCAGTACATGGGATGTACCATATATCCACCATACACCCCTGGGATACCCCATGCACCCCTATCCTGCATATGGCAGTCCCCATAAACAGGATCCTCCTCTGTCTGACACCGCCCCTTCACCCCAAACCCAATACGTGGGATGCCCCATATATGCCCCCCATACAATCCCAGGATGCCCCACACGACCCCAAAACACCCCACACTGCCCCATTCCCGGGATCCCCCACCCTGTGACGCCCCCCTTGACCCCGAGCCCCTCTCCCACCCTGCATGTAGACCACCAGCAGGGCGTAGCAGATGGTGAGCGGGGTCCAGAACCGCGCGGCCTCGGCGGCCGACAGGAAATCCCTGTTGATGAGCTGCACGGCCGCCAGGTCGGCCACGCCGAAGGCCAGGGCGAGGGCGCGGCGCAGCAGCGCCGGGATGCGGTGGCCGTCGGAGAGGAGCAGGATGCAGAGCCCGCAGTAGCGCGCCCGGCTGTGCAGCCCGTACAGGGCACACACGTGCCGCGCCAGGCGCTGGCCCTGCAGCGCCAGCAGCCCCGCCAGCCCCGCCGCCAGCAGCAGGTTCCAGGTCCGGTGGGGAGCCCCTTCCAGCAGGAAGCTGAGGCCGCAGGACACGCCGCAGCCCAGCGAGTACTGGCACAGCAGGTACAGCTGGCTGCTGTGGGCGCCCTGCGGGAGGGGATGTCAGTCAGTCACCAGCAGTTCATGGGATCGTGCGGTCGGTGGGGTGGGAAAAGACTCCAAGACCATCGAGTCCAACCATCCCACCAGTACTGTCACGTCCACCACTAAAAATGTCCCCAAGTGCCACATCCACACTCCTACTGAACACTTCCAGGGACGGGGGCTCCACCACCTCCCTGGGCAGCCTCTGCCAAGGCCTGAGTGCCCTTTCCATTACGGAATTTTCCCTAATACCCAATCTGACCCTCCCCTGGCACAGCTGGAGGCCGTTCCCTCTCCTCCTGTCCCTGTTCCCTAGGAGCAGAGCCTCACCCCCACCCCCCACCGGCTTCCCCTCCTGTCAGGGATTGCAGAGCCAGAAGGTCCCCCCTGAGCCTCCTTTTCTCCAGGCTGAGCCCCCCCAGCTCCTTCAGCCCCTCCTGCTGCTCCAGCCCCTTCCCAGCTCTGTTCCCTTCCCTGCACACGCTCCAGCCCCTCCGTGTCCTTGTCCAGAGGGTCCCAGCGATGCCCCCGGGGCTGGAGGTGCCCGGGCCGTGCCCAGCACAGGGACGGGCCCTGCCCTGATCCTGAGCCCCCCCCGGGCCAGGCCCAGCCCGGGCCCATCGGCCTCTCCCCCCCCGGGTTCATGTGCAAAGTGGACTCTCCACACCACGGTCCCTCCATCCCCCATGGGGGCCGAACAAATCCACCAGGGATCCACAATTCCCCAGCTCCCTCCACACCGTGTCCCGGTTTCTCCCATCCCATCTCACCTTGCCGAGGGTCAGGACGGTGGACACGGCGCGCAGGGAGAACTCCAGCACCACCAGCGCGGCCACGCGGGACCCCACCAGGGCCAGCAGCCCCGTCAGCACCAGCACGTGCAGCGGCTCCAGCACCGCCCGCTGCGCCCGGATCGCATCCTTCTCCGCCTGCCTCTCCGGGTTGCTGGGGACAGCGAGGGGGGAATGCTGAATGCCAGGTGGGACATCACCCAAAAGGGGGTGACAGCCCTAGAGACAACCCTCCCTGTGCTTCCCAGCCCCTCCCCTGCACCCCTGGGTGCCAAGAGCCACCCTCCCAACAGCAGACCCCAGAATCTGATCCCCAAAACCAACCTCCCCCGCCCCGGGCGGCGCTTACTTCAGGCACTGGATGTAGAGATAAACCTTCAGGAGGCTGCAGAGCACCGAGACGGCACAGGCACCCACCAGCCCTGCGGGGAAAGGCAGCAGCGGGTCACCCGTGTCCTCTGGCCCGTCCCCGAGCTGCCCCCGTGCCACCTTCAGCGTTCTCACCTTGCAGGAATGCATCCAGCAGTGCCCAGCCCCAGGCCAGCCCGGGGAATGCCGGCAGCCAGGACCCCAGGGAGAACATTTTCGATGGAGAGGAGCCACGGCACGCACGGCCAGGCCCCGGCTCCAAGGTCCGCGGGGCGGAGGCTGGGAGTGGCCTCTATGGGCTAGTAAATCATTGCTGGGGCAAACCGGGGCGGCTGGAGCTCAGCTGCTCCGGCCACAGCTGCAGCTGCCCCGGCCACAGCTCCAGCTGCCCCGTGGAGGTGAAAATTAGGGCGAGGAGAAGAAGGCAGAGACGGGATGCACGTGGAGGGGCTCGGGGACCACCAGCACCTTTGCCCGCCTCCACCTCGGCACTGCCGTTCACGCCGAGGCATCGCAGCGTTTCAGGTCCCGTCCCCCCTTCTGCGCCACCCCAAAGACCCCGAAACGACGCCGAAAATAGAAAAACCCCTTTATTAATGTCTTTGGTGGTGGTGGGAGCCCATCCTACGGCCCCGGGGGCTGCTGGTGCCGCACCAGGTCCCTGAGCTTGTCCCAAAAGAAGAGGCTGAGGACGGTGTGGGGGCCGAGGCGGAGGTAGACGGCGCCGATGCCCTTGTACAAGCCCAGTAGCCCCTCTTTGTTGGAGATTTGCAGGATACAATCCAAAAAGCCCCGGTAGAGCTTGCCCTGGGGAGAGAGGAGCCGGCTGCTCGCTCCCGCCAGCCGCAATCCCGGGAAAAGCCGCGCGTCTCCTCTACCCGGAACGGCCTTACCGTGCCCTCGGCGTCCACCGGCTGGTTGTAGAGGCGGGTGCTGATCGTGTCGAAGGGCGTCATCGCCACGGCAACAGCCACGCTGCTCACCATCCCCCCGGCCAGCACGGCCGCCCAGCTGCCCTTCCTGAACCACTGCGGGGAGCGCCCGCGTCAGCCCGGCCCGAGCACCGAGGGAGCGGCGGCCGGGCCGGCGCGGTCCCCTCACCTGGCGCTCGCAGACCCAGTCCTTGGCGGAGGCGAAGGTGGCGAGCTGCACGGCCGAGCCCACGGTCACGCGTGGGATGGCGCCCGTCACCCCCCGCCACAGCCCCACCACCCCGTGCTGCCGGTAGATGGTCCTGAAAGCGCCGGCGATGTTCTGAAATCGGGGAGAGACGGGAATGGTGCGTCCCACGCACGGCTAAAATTTCCCACCCTGGCAAAACTTCCCACCCCGGCGTCCAAAGCCACGTTGGTTGTTGGGGACACGAAGCCAGCGGGGCTTTGAAGGCACCGCAGGGGGTCCGGATTCGGTGTCCCGGCCCCACGTGCCCGTCACACCCCCTCTGTCCTCACGCCGTTATTTATAGCGTCGTTACGGGGCCAAGCGGCCGAACAACAGCTTTAAATTCCTGCTGACCAAAATAGCATCGTCCCCCCTGGGGCCTGGAGCGTGCACTGACAAGGTGCCACCATATCCTCGGTGCCTCCCCAGCCCGACCCCGTCCCCACTCACCTCATGGTTGTGCTGGTAGCCCACAGCCATGGCCGACACTGTCTGGGCTTGGAGGTGCGTCTTGACCTTGGGGGACAATGCCAGGTGACAAAACCCCCTTCAGCCCCTACTGGGACCGGCTGCATTCCCCCCATCTCTTCTCAGCACATTTTTTGGGGGGGGTTTCAGCTCCTCTGACAGATGGGGGGGGCACAGATGTGTTGCCAAGTGGCACCTCCAGGCTTTGAACGCCTCCCACCCCAGGGCAAAGGGACCCTGCAAACACCCAATGCTGGGACTCTGCAACCCCAAAAACTGGGAAGACCCCCTAAAAAGGGTGGGGGGGAACAACCTAAATTTCTTTTGGGAACTTTTCCTTATGGGGGAGTTCTGTGGGTTTCGAGGGGGAAGATTTGGGGGACACAGCGGGGGGAGAACATGCACAGAGCAGCCCTACATTTTGGGGGGGGGTGGGTGAAGCAAAGCAGGGGGAGAAGGGATGCACCAGAGACGGAGTTTATAGGATGCAGTGAGCTCCAGGATGTCAAACCTTTTCTGGGAGGGGGTGTGTTTCCCCAAAACACCCCTCCCTACACACACGAGGGTCCGTGGGGGCAGAGCAGCACTCACCAGGTACGCGGGGCTGCCCACGAAGGCTCCCACCGCCCCCGCCACGGCCCCGGCGGCCACGGTGCCGCCGGGATACCGCGTCCAGCCGGCGTCCTCGGCGTGGGAATAGCAGTAGAAGCGGAAGCCGTTCATGAGCCCCTGGTAGAGCAGCCCGGCCGCCAGGCCCTTCTGCAGCCCCCCCAGCCCGTCCGCCCGGCACACGGCGCCCACCGCCCGCAGCACCCCCCGGTAGGGCCGCGGGTACGTGCCCGGGGCCTGCAGCTCGCCCTGCAGCTGCAGCCGCGTCTTGACCACCTCCAGCGGGTTGGTGAGGAAGCAGGCCAGGCAGCCGGCGGTGGCCCCCAGCACCAGGTCGGTGGCCGGGGGCACCCCCTTGGCCGGGGGGCTGCTCTTGGCGGGGGTCGCGAGTTCCTGCGGGGAGGGGGATCCGGGGCGGGGGGCGCGGGCTCCCGTCGCCATCCGGCACCTGCCCGCGGGGGCGGCCCCGGCTCCACCTCCCCGAGCGACCGCGGCGAAAAACACACCGAGCCGGGGGGGAGCGAGCGCCGCCTCCCGCGAACCAACGCCGGCCCCCCCTCCCCAAATCCAGCCCCCGCTTTGGGGAAGGGATGTGGGGCAAAGGTCGGGGCTGGGGGTGCGTGTCCGGCCCCCTCCCCCGGTACCGAAGCGCCCCGGCAGCCGCGTCCAGCCCGGCCCGGCCTCACGTGATGGGGCTGCCCCGGCGCAAACAGGGAAAAACAGGCACAGGAAAAAAAAAAAAAAAAAAAAAGGCGGGATAGAACTGGAAGAGAAGCTGGGGCAGGGCGGCTCCGGGGGGCACACGCAGCCCCCCCGCCCCGCGGCCGGCCTGGGGCAGGGACGGGGCCCGGCAGGTTCGTTGCCCTCGCGGCCGCGGTTCGGGGGCTCGCGGGGGTCTCACCCGCCTGTCCCGGCCTGATCCCTCTCGGGGTCGCCGAAATGCTTTGAAATTGGAGCTTCCGAGGGGAAAAAAGCTGCGGGGGTGTGTGGGGCTGTCAGTGTCCCTCCCCCCCGCCGCGGAGTCCTATTTTTAGGGCTGCACAGTGACCCCCTGGGACCTGTTTCACCCCATGGCCGAGGCACTTCTGTGGTTTACTGAGGGGGTGGGGAGGTGTAACACCCAAACTCCTCCCCACCCCAATGGCTCCCCATCCTTGATATACCCCCAACACCCCTTCTTTGATCCCAAAAGGAGAGGGAGGGTTTACAGGAAAGGTGAGTGATGCTGGGGGCTGGCCCCACGGCTGTTTATTTCTTGTCTAGACTAGGAATATCTCCTGGATCTGGGGATAAACGGGGACAGAGCATCCAGACTCTCTGTCCTGATGGATAATTGCCAACAGAAGAAGAGAACGTGCCTCAGCGCAGGGTTAACACCGCTGGGGTTCAGCGTCCTGCCCCAGAGTGATTCCACAGGCTCCAGAGTGACAACAGGACGAGGAACAGCCCCGGGTGCTGGAATGTGTCACACGGCCAAAGCTGAGTTACCAATGACTGTTTATTTGGGGAGGGGGGAAAGGAAGCAGATGTATGTACATATACATTCAGTCACGTACGTTTCCTCCCAGAAAAAGGCCCCGTGAACTTATATTACATCAGAAGGTCTCTGGATTATTATTATTATTCATTCTTCTTATTATTATTATTTAAAAGCTGGGGTTGTGCCCCAAAGTGCTCGCTGTGGAGCGCAAGCGGCGACAGGTCCGTGCCGGCCTCGGGTGCAGGAACCGAGGAGGTGGGGATGTGTTCGGTGGCAGCCACGTGACAACGTCCCTCGGGACGCCTGAAGAACATGGGACTCCATCTCTTCACCCCCTCCCCGGCACACAGGACCAGCGTCCAAACCTCAAACCGCCTTCTGAGCTCTCCTAAAACCACTCTGGGATGTTTTAAGGCCAAATTTTTGGCCCTGTTCCTTCTTCCTTAGCCTCAAACCTCATGGACAGGCTGGGAGTGGCTCTGTGATGTCCGGAGGCCCCGGGTGGTTCTCCAGGAGGAGGAGGTGGCGCAGCAGTGCCGTACTCGGTGATTGTATGAGCAACAAAACATGCACGGTAGCGACTGAGTGTTCCCGTCTCGCCCCCTCCGCGCCCCGACCCTGTTCTAAAATGAACAAGTCTTCAGTCCTGCTCCCCGCCACAACGGGGGGATGCTCATCCCAGCCCACCCCACTCCCACCCTCTCCCTCACTACTAGTGGGACATTATTCCATGAAAGGCAAATTCTTTGCCCTGTGGCAGCTGGACGAGGAGGAAGGCGCAGGTGGAGAAGAGTCCGGCTGCTCCCAAAACGTGCTGGACGTCCTTGGCTCGGCAGTGGGCGCGGGGTCCACGCTGCAGGCACGTCCCTGGTGGGGACTGAGCGGTGGCAGGAGGGTTTGGGGTGCCAGTTGGCCAGGCACAGGCCCTGCTTCCCCCCAGGATGGGCCCCCATGAGCTGTCCTCCCCGGGCAGGGTCAGCACCAGGGGTCCCGCTCAGCCCGGCCGCGGCACAGGCTGTCACTGCGCTGCCACGCGCTGTCGATGAGGCTCTGGGCATCCTCACACTTCTTCTTGACAGCGGCGTCCAGGATGGCCTTGTGCAGGAGTTCGACCTGGAACACACGTGTGGGGCGTCAGGAGGGGAACGGACAACAGTCACTTCTCCCTCTTGCTGTAAAACCACCTCAAATCCACACGAAACGGATTGTCCGTGTCATAAACATGGGCTGCCCCAGGTCCCTCCCACTCCCTTTGCCAGCGTGGGATGCTCGTGGCCTGTCCTGCCAGGCCCCAAATCCCCCATCCTGTGCTTATATGGACAATGGAGAAGCTCTGTGGCTCTCCTGCCCTTTGTGGGAAAGCTGGGTTCACCCTGCAGGGACAAATTCACCTCTCTGCCCTCCCTCACCAATGAAGGGTGTGAGGAATCTCCACATGTGCTCACCTGGTAGATGTTCCTCCACGCGGCGTTCAGTGCCGACAGGAACCTCTCCAGCTCCGTAGTGCAACTAAAATAGAGGACCCAGGGGGGCAGGAACTCCTTGCTGTCCTGAGCAAACTCCTAAACATCAAGAGAGAGGCTGGGTGTCAGCACTGGCCCCTCGCCCAGCCCTGTGCCAGCCGGTCCCAAGCCCCAGGCTCACCAGGATACAGTACTCCTTGCCAGCCTCCGTGGAGACGGCGGCGATGTCCGTGAGCTCGGCGGTGCCCAGCGAGCGGAAGAAGCTGGTCTGGCAGTCCTCGTGGCACGTGAAAGCCTTCTCATCCGTCAGCACGAGGCAGCAGGGAACACAGGGCGTGGGGGCAACACCCTGGGGGATCACCTGCACGGGGTGAGGAAAGGGGGGTTAACGTCTGGCACGGTGGAGCCCCATCTCCACAGGGCACCCCGTGGGGAAGCTCTCCTGGCTCGGGATCAATCTGCCTGTTCCATCCCTGCCAGGCATCCCTGCTCCCTTTGGCAGCTCCAAAGGGGCTCCAGGCAAAGGAGGGGGTTGAAGCACCCACGCCTGGGGCCCGTCCCCGGCTCACCCCTTTGGAGACAGCCTGGCAGAAGTACTGCATCCAGTCCGCCATGTCCTCCTCGTTGTCGGCGCTCAGCTCCAGGGAGGGCCGGTCCGTCAGGATCACCTGGAAGGAGTGGGGCCGCTCGGTGGTGTTGGAGCGCCGGCATCCCCCGCACTGCTCGCCGCTGGGAGAGAGGGGAGGATGGAGATCAGGGGGATGGATGTGCCAGCACCAGCCCGAAAACAGCCTTTGCCTGCCCTCCCTGCGCAGCACCTCAGCCCTCTTCCCCACAAACACTCGTGTCCCATCTGTGACATCCCCTGGGATTGCTCCAAGGATGGCCTGTCTGTGTACTGTGGGAGAGCTGGAGCTGAGCACAGTGGGTCTCCCAGAAGGGCTCTTGGAGAGCTGTGTCACCTTCAGAGGCCAATTCCCCATCCAAGGGTGGGCTCAAGTGTTCAAAAACTAGGAGGAAATGAGGCCATCTCCCACTAAACCTGGCTCCAGCCAGGAGCAAGCAGGGAGTCCTGCAGCACTGCAGTAGGGCGTGATCTGCCCAGAACACCTCCCTAGACATCCCAAGCAGCTCCTGCTCCCCAGATCCCCAGTCTGGGTGCCCTGAGTGCACCTGAGCCGGGGTGCCCCGTCCCACCAGCCGCTTACCCCATGTTGATGGAGAGCAGAGGGGTGACGTCGGTGCGATCCGGGTACTGGTACAGGATCCCGTTGCTGCCATTTGGGAAGATGAGAGAGAGGTCACCTGAGTCAGCCCAGCTCTGGTATCCCCTGCCTTCGGTCCCACAGCCAGCCCTGCCCTGCCCTCTACCCACACAGCCCCGTGGGGTCACATTCCCGCTGCTGGGCACCCAGAGCTGGTGGCTTTGGCCCTGCAGGTGACAAGATGTGTCCTCACCACCTGCCAAGCAGCAAAGTGCTCCCAGCACCTTCTCCAACGGGCCCTGGCTGCCCCTGACCCGCAGCCCCGGTGCCCACCTGAGCACCACGAAGCAGGTCTTCCACTGCTCCTTGCCCAGGTAGGAGGTCCCTGCCTTGTAGTGCAGGATGCCGTCCTTGGTGACGGCGTTTTCACCGGAGGAGCAGCTGTTGCTGGCAGGTCCCAGCGCCTCATCCATGGGGTCTTCCCAGTGAACGAGGCCGTAGAATCGCACCACCACGTCGCAGGCCTGTGAGGAGCAGGAGGAGTCAGGGGAGTGCCTGGTGAGCTGTTGTCACCCACAGTGATGGTGGAGGTATCCAAACCCACCTCACACTTGGACTCCTGCGCCACGAACTTTGCCAGCGCCAGTTTCTCCATGGTGGCATCCATGAGGATACTGGGGTACGGGGGCTCCCGGCACCCTTTGATCATGGCTGACTTCAGGGAGACCAGGAAGAACCTGAGAGGGAGGCAGGGATCTCTGACAAGGCCAGGACAAACAGCCCCTCATCTCCCTCACATGCTCTGGTGCCCAGGGGCCTCCCCTTCACTGTGGGCCTCCGGTCTTCCAGACCAACGGGTCCCAAAATCAACCCACAGACCAGAGGTGCCAGGGGTTTGCAAAACCTGAACTCCAGAAAGGAGCTCACAGAACCACAGAATATTCTGAGCTGGAAGGGACCCAAAGGATCAAGTCCAAATAGACCCTGCAGCCTTGGCATGAGCACCCCGCTCTAACCACCTGAGCTAATCTCAGGGCCGTGGGTGGGACTGGGAGGTGGACACATCCCAGTACGACCATCAGCTGTCCTACGTCCCTGAGCTGACCACACAGACCTGGGGATGTGCCTTGGAACTCAAGAGCTCGTCCCTGCTCATCCCAAGTGACACAAGGGACACGTGGGTCTGCACTGCCCAGACCCCTGAAGCTCAGCCTGAGGGACAGGGTGAATGCTGTGTTTATCCAGGCAAGATACTTTCGGTGTATCCATGCCTGAGGCAATTCCAGCTGCCTGCAGGGCTCAGCCAGTGGCATCAAACCAACCCCAAACCCCCAGTGGTGGTAGGACTTTGTCGTGGGGGCTGTCACTGCAGTGTCCCGCGCCTGAGGGGCTGGTCAGGGCTCCATCCCCGCGCTTACTCGGTGAGAGCCACGTCGGCGGTGTCCAGCAGGAACTGCTTCCTCCGGTTGGTGCACACCAGGGTCACTGTCTGCTGATCCAGCCCCACCTGTGCCACACAGGGAGGGTTAGGGAAGCCAGGCACGGCACGAGGGGCAATGGAGCAGGCTTGGACCCGGCTCCTGGCCCTGGGGAGAGGGTCAGTGGTCACTCTGCTGCCCACGTGAAGATACAAGCAAGGTGGGCACCCACAGAGGTGGCATTTGAGAGGGGATCACTTCCAACTCTCCCAGTCTCAAAGGCTCACTGGCCAAAACTCTCCCCAGGGACACAAGCACACTCCACTGTGACGCTCCTGGCACCCTCATCCTTCAGACAGGCGAGGACGGACCCCCAGCTCCCTCCTGCTCCCCATCTGCTCACCGAGATGTAATCCAGCTCGTTGTAGGACACGGCCTCCTCCACCATGTACGGCTTCTCCGCTGCCCCTGGCACAGACACAGAGAGCCACGTGAAGGGGGGCAAAGGACCCCCTTGGCAGCAGCAGCAGCGATGGACCTGCAAACCGAGCCGTGTCCCAGGCAGCACAGAGCTGTGGGACGTGTGTCCCAGGGCTTCCTGAGGGACAGGCCAGCCTGAGCCCCCACTGGGACACGAGGGAACTGGCAGTGACCCCACTTCGTGGACAAGCCTCCCTCCCTGCTGCTGAGCCCAGGGGCTGCTGGGATGGGGTACCTTTCCGGATCAGGTACACGTAGCAATCCGTCAGCAGGACGTAGATCAGCTGCAGGTTCCCCTCCATGTGCCCGGTGCTCATTCGGATCATCTGCACAGAGACAAAAGAGCTCTCAGCCCTGGGCTGATGCAGGCACAGAGCTGGCCCTTCAGTCCCTGGTGACCCCCTTACCCTGAATAACTGTTCCTCGTTCTCCCGAAAGACGTGGATCATCAGCAGGAGGAGATGGTTGTTATCCACCCTGTGGAGAGAGACAGCAGAGGATGGACACGGATGTGGGGCTGGGTGAGTCCAGGAAGGGCGATCCCCTTCCTTATTGAGCATGTCCATGATTTGGGCACTTGTTATTCCCCCAAGACCTTCTCCTCCTGACCCCCTGTGCCTCCTTTTCATCCTGGAAAAGGATGGGCTTTGCCCCCCAAACTGAGGACAAAGGGGAAAGCACCAGCTTGAGCTGAAGATTGTTTGGAAGACGTTGTCCCTGCTGAGCAAACCCATCCTCACCTGAACTCGGAGGGATGGGTCAGCTCTGAGGGGCTGCCCTGCCCCTCCTCCACCCCAGAGTCCTCGGCACTGCTCAGGGAAGGGCTGGGCTGCTCCTTCTTGGGCTCACAGGGAGCCTGGGCGTTGGTGGTTTCTGTCTGGCCAGTTTGGGGTTCATCACTCGCCCTTCCAGACTCCTCTACTGCCCCAAATGCTTCTCTCTCTCTGCTTTCTTCTTCTTCAGGAGCCTCAGGGCTACCAGAAACATGTGGCGGTTGGCCAGGCCCTGGAGGGTCATGGTGGCCACCACCTGGTGCAGCAGCGTTTGGACTCTCGACGGTAAATCGGTAGAAGTCCATGGGGGCTGAAATCCCCTCGCTAAAGTCGCCAGAGGACGATCCATCCGGGGTCTCCCCTGGCGTGCCGGTCCGAAAGGGCTGCCCGGGGGGCTCCAGGGGGGCGTTCCAGCCCCCGGGGTCCAGCTGCCCGTTGAGCCTGTCCATGACCTTGCTGAGGGGCTGCCCCAGGCTCTCCATGGACGTGTCCTTCATCTCGGGGATGTGCAGGGCCAGCTGCCCGAGGGCCGGCCGCTCGCCCCCCTCCTCCGGCCCGCGCGGGTCCCCGGGCGGCTCCTCCCGGTCACTGAGCCCGTTGATGCCGCTGTCCCCGCTGGCCTCGGGCGCTGCGGGGGCCGGGCTGCTCACCACCTCCTCGGCCTTCACCTTCTTCTTCTTGCCCGTTTTCTTCTTCTTGGCCAACCTGTGAGAGACAGGAATGTCACTCACCTGTGCCTGCTTAGAATCCGCGATCCCACCCTTTCCCAACAACATTCCGTTGCACTTTTCCCTATTGCAGGGAGACCCTCCTATCAAGAACATCGCTCGATGTGCAGTTACACAGAGCCCTCATCTCCGTGCCAGCTGTCATGAGACACAAGATATGGACCCTTTTTCCTACTTATCCCAAATAGAAGAGCCATCACTGTTGGATGCAGCATCTTGGGCTTCCTTTGGCTGCGAAGGGATCACAAATGGATGCAGAGCTAAGGTGACTCGGGAGAAATCCCTGGCTGAGAGCAAGCAGCTGGGAAGGAGGTTTCTAGGGGTGGGACTGCCGTGTCCCCGCCTGCCAGAAGAGGGAGATGGAGGCTGGAGCCTGCTCCAGCCAGTGGCACACCGGGAAGTGCTCTGGACACCCGTGGCACCCAAACTGCTGCCAGGTCACCCTTGTTTGGGAAGCAAGTGTGCTGCTCCCCTTCCCTGAGTCTGATGTGCAGGATGCCACGTAACCCAGCTCCTCTGCTCCTCCCAGGAAAAACTGGGCACAAGAACAAAGCCCAGGCCTGCTGGGCGGGTTTTGGGGTGTCCCCATTGCTGGGAGTGAGCAGACAGAGCCTTGAGCTCTTTGTCTGGGTTCAGGGCTCTGAGGAACCCCTGGGGATCTCCTCTGCAGGAGTCAAATGCCGGCTAGGAGCTCTGTGGAGGCACCTCCCACAACGGGTTTAGCCACAGCCTGCTGAGAAACAGGAGGGAAGATCCAAGACCCAGAACTGCTGCAAACCTGCCACCAGCTGGAGAGAGCTCCAATTTAAAGCTCACAGGTTACTCTGACACGCACTGTCAGGCAAAGGTGTTGATGTGGAGCCAGCCCGAGGGATCCCAGACCAGTGAGATCAGCTGTGACACCTACAGACCCCCGCTGGTCTGGACTATAAACCTGCTTTCTCATGAGGGCTGCACAAAGGCCCCGGCACAGGCACCGTGTGCGCTGGGCCATGAGGGGTGGCACCTCCTCAGCATCAGCAGCTCTGTGCCTACCTGATGACCTCCAGCTCCATGCAGCTCTCGGACTGGTCCGTCCCCTCGGGAGTGGCCTCTGCCTTGTCCCGGGCCGCGGTGTGCACCGGCGTGGTGTCGGTGGAGGACGGCACCTCGGCCTTCTCCTCGTTGAAGGGGTTGTGGCGCTGGGTCGGGCTCTTCTCCGGGGCCTTGCTGCCGGCGGCCTCCGAGGCGGTGGAGCGCGGGCAGCTCAGCGTGTCCGTCAGGTCTCCGTCTGCAGACACAAGGTGGGAAGGGCGGATCAGGCTCCTGCACTGCGGCAGATGAAGCCAAGCCGAGTGCTGGGGGCCAGGGCACTGCGTGGTCACTGCACTGCTCGCAGTGCCAGCCAGGGGGGACACACTGGCCAGAGGTTTAATGTGCCTGGAGACAACAGCTCGGCCACCCCAGAGCCGGCAGCCGGAGTAGGGAGTAGAGGTGGTGTCTGTGGGGAGGGGTGTGAGGGGTTTTGGGGCCACGGTGCTTCTTGGCAAGATAACAGCAAGCAATGAGGCTGCTGCTTCTCCCCCTGCCACGGGAAGGTGCTCGCCCAGCTGGAAGGGCAGACACGGAGCCAGCCATGGAGCAGCATTCCTTATGGAGCTGGCTGCTCTCCTCTGCTCACACGGGACACACGGGGGGGCTGGAGGGGTGGTGGAGGGGGACACAGCATTCCCGGGGGTCCGAGGACAGCAGGCAGCACAGACAGGTGGGAGCACAAACAAACAGCTTGGCCCATGTTAGTCTTTAGAGGGAAAAGGAGCGGCAGGGAAGGGCTGCAGGAGTCATGCTCAGAGTTATCCATCCAAAATCACAGTTAAAGGAAGGTTATCCATGCCCTCCTCTTCTCCAGCACCCTTCCTGGTCTAGTGGAAGGTGTCTCTACCCATGGCAAGGGATAGGAATGAGATGATCTTCAAGGTCCCTTTCAACCCAAAGCATTCCATGATTCTATGATTCACCCAGCTAGAAAGACCCTTCAGGGAGGGAACCACAGCCCTACACTTTGGAGGTGTAGGATTTGAGAAGGAAAATGAAACCTCTCCTAAAACTCTAATCCAGGCAGTTTGTGAGGGATGATTCCAAAACACCACTTTGCTCCCACTGAAACTCCTGCCCTGCAGTGTGAGGGGTGTGGGCTCTGCCAGGGAAGGCAATGGGGTTGTTAACGTTTGCATTAAAGGGAAATTCATGGAATCACTTAAGTTGGGAAAGACCTCTAAGATCATGAAGTCCAACCATTAACAAAATAAAACATTTAAAAGCTATTTCAGCCTGCACCACCAATCCATTGTCACTTTGGCCTAAATCCTGCTGGTTCTGTGCAGACAAAACAATCTTTGTCCAAAATACAGAATTTTACCTCAAAATGCATTTGCTGAAAACAGGGAATGGCCCAAACTTTCTTAACCTCTGTTCTGTGTTCCCACAGCAAGGAATCCATTAGTGAGGTGACCTGGTGGAGGTTCCAGTGACAGTTTCCCTGTGGCTGAGGAAACTCAGCCCGGAGCAGTGGGGGATCTCACTATTGCAACCAGGACCTGCATGTGGGAGCTGTGCATGCCTGAAATCCAGAGGGATCTGCCCCAGCACCCCTGGGCTTCTCCCAGCCTCACCCACCACCCACAGTGGAGCTGGGTTTGGAAACGTGGTTTGTACCTTCAGGGACAGGTTAAACCACGTCTGTGACAGCCCCGAGCTTGGGGTAAGAAAGAAGATGAGAGGGAGCCCAAGAACAATCCACATGGAATTCAGGCAGATTTCCCCAAATATTCAGGTGGTACCAAGGCAATTCAGACCCAAAGCTCCATCAGGCTTTGAGCTGCAAAGGACGGAGTGTGGGTGTGTTTCCTGCAGGGGTAAAGCAGGGAGGAGCACGTCCTGCTCCCATGACATGGAGAGGATTCACACATGGAGGAAGGAGAACCAGTTCCTCTAAACTGGGCACGTGCTCTTGGCCATAAAGGCCAGATGTAGCTGGCAAGCTGGTTTAAAAAGTGGTAAAATAAATAAAAATAAGAAGTGTTGTGACTCAAACCGAGCATGGCCACGTGCTGGATGCTGTGGCTGCACGGGAGGTGTTTTGACACAGGACAGCAGGGAAAACAAAACCTCCCAAATCAATCCCTGCAAAAGGCCCCAAATTAAAGGCAGCAGAATGAATTCATCCGTTTTCCAGGGCTTTCAGGAAATCAGTGATGGTGGATCAGTGTTTTTGATCAGCACCCTGCATGCTTTACCCCAAGGGAAGATCCAGGGCATGTGGGCAGCTGGCACATCCCACATTTTGGAAGGACGCTGGTCCCTGCTGCCAACTCCACAGCAGGGGCAATTTTCCAGCTCTTCTTTTGTAATCTGGACACGGAGGCATCGTTAGATGCAGGAAAACATCCCTCAGCTGTGGGATATATGGCCAGGAGAGTGAGTTTGTGCACAGCAGGAGCTGGGGAAAGCCTTGGCCTCACAGGTGAGACACACAACCTCCCTCCTCAGGGGATCTTTTCCACTCCTTTCTGCCTGTACGGAATTCCATCAAGATGGAGCAGTTGGTTATTAAAGAAATGAAGGGGGGAACATGCAGCAAAGCTCAGGTGGCAGCAATGCAGAAAGGAAACCAAAGTGCTGTAAGAGATGAGTGTGTCCCACCTTCCCAGTCTCTGCTGGGCATGGTCTGCATTGCTGGAAAGACATCTCCAAAATCATAATCTACAAAAACGAGGGATAAAACTCAGGATTAGAAACACAAGTAGTGGGGAGGGAAGGGGGGAGAGGGGAGAGTGTGAGGGGGGTTGGGGAGGGAGATGGGAACGGGGAGAAACAAAACAATCGTCCACTGGTATCTGAAATGCATGAGAAAATTGTCAGGGAATGTGGATGTGAATGGAAACCAGCTGCACTAAGGGCAGTTCTGCTGGATGGTTGTGTTATGGGAGCTACAGCGGGACCAGGGAAGGATGAAAGCCCCATTATTCATGCTGCTGGGAAGGTAAACCAGCAACAACCGTGTCATCCAGGCCTTGATCTTCTCTGGGAAGCAATTTAACCACTCTGTGCCTCAGTTTCCCCTCTTCACACTTACCTCCCATAGATACTGTGGTGTTTGACTCATGAGTGTTTGCAAAGCCAGGGCTCTGATTAAAGGGGAAATCTCGGCCTCTGACCCTAAAATCCCCAGCTCCACCTACACTCTCAGGGTAGAGAGATGCTCCTGATGAAATGATGAGCAGGGAAATAGTTACTGGAGTTAAATTCCTCCACACCTGAGGAACAGCAGCAATTCCTGCCCTCCAGGGTCCTGGCCCAGCATTCCTACACCAGTGTATGGGGAAACTGAGACACAGATCACAGCCACTGCCTGGGCACATGGAATAGCCTGAGATGATGCCAAACCCAAAATGTAGCTCCAGAATCTCCTGGATTTCTCCTCCAAACCCTCTTCCCTGGAGCATTAAGCTGCCATCCCCCAGCCGGGCTGGAGAGTGCAGCCAAACCCGAGGGACACCCAGGGAACAGGGACGGGCAGGAGATGTTTGGCACCAAGACACTGCTGAGGGAGGGGCAGGAACACAAGCCCTGAAACAGCTGCTTGAGCCAAACCTCTGGTGCTGGAGAACCTTTCTCCTGTGATTTTTATTTCCAGGCTCCTTGTGCCATCTCCAGCTCTCCTGGGACGCTGGAGATTTGGCATAAACAAGTCCCCAAAATCAAGCCCTTTCACGAGTGCAGATGTGGGTGAGCCCAAACCAGTGCTGTGCTCCCAAGTCCTTTGCTAAAATAACTCTAATGCCTGTCCCAGGCTGTTCCTTCTCATCATCTTTAATATCTGTAGGTTCTGTCTTGCACATAAAAGGTGACCCTTGTCTCAAGGGAACCCATCTGTGTGGGGGCCCAGTCCTGAATTCACTACATCCAAATAACAGTTCATTCCGTTCCAATTCTATTCCAGGATTCCCTTTGCTCAAACTGACATAAAAAAAATAGGACAGGGCCAATGTACTTCGGATTAGGAAGAGCAGCAGCAGAGCTGCTCCTTCGTGTGCACAGGGTGGGTGTGGGATGGGAGCTCCTTGCTCTGGCCTGCAGGGGGTTAAGGGGGCAGACACACCCTACGTTCATCAGGAACAACACCCAGCCTCTCTGACAGGGATGAGGGGGCGAGGAGGACAATTTATGAGGCTGCTCAGGATGCATAGAGGAAAACTCAGCACCTGTGAGAGCACTGGCTGCCTTTCTCCCAGATTACAGGCATGGAGAAAAGACTCTGGAAACTCTTGCCCCACCAGCCCCAGCATGTGTGGGTCTCTGGAGTGTGAAATAACCAGTTAAAAAAGTTCCCCTGCAGCCCAGAGCCTCTGTCCTGCCCTGACAGCCACATTCAGACACAGGCACAGCCTTCACTCCATTGAGGAGATTCCTGCAGTTCTTGCTAAAACAAACCCCCAGGATGGGAACGTGGCCTGGGGTGACTGGCAGGGAAGGTCCTTCCCTCCCAGTCTGAGGCAAAGGGGCTGTTACCACCAAATCATCCCAGAATGGTTTGGGTTGGAAGGGACCTTAAAGCACCTCATTCCACCCCTGCCATGGGCAGAGACACCTTCCACCAGCCCAGGTTGCTCCAAGCCCCGTCCAACCTGGCCTTGGACACTTGCAGGGCTGGGGCAGCCACAGCTTCTCTGGGCACCCTGTGCCAGGGCCTGCCCACCCTCACAGCGAAGGATTCCTTCCCAATATCCAGTCTAAATTTCCTCTCTTTTAGTTTAAAACTCTTTTAATTTAAAACCATTTCCCCTTGTCCTATCTCCCAAGGATTTAAGGCAGGAGCGACTCACAGCCTGGCTCCCGGGGTTCTCACTGTGGTCTCCTCCAGCCCACCACTTGGCACCTCCTCCCAAGGGGCTGTGAGCGCTCACCCTGCCTGCCCCAGCCCCAGACACCGCTGACCTTCGCTGGAGGGGGCGATGGCACTGTCGTCCCACTCCAGGTTGGTGGAGGTGACGGAGTTGAAGGAGTTGAGGGAGAGGCTGTCGGAGCCGTGCACGGAGCTGGGCAGGCGCTCCTCGAAGTCCAGCAGGTGCTGGGGCTTGTAGTAATCGGGCATGTACGGGGCCAGGTCCAGGTACGGAGCATCCTGCAGGGAAGCGTGGGGTGAGTCAGGCTCCCAGTCACTGCTGTTAGCACAGCTGGGGGACAGTGGCACCCCATCTGGTGGGACTGTCCCTTGAACATCCCTCTGGGTGCCCCTTTCAGAGGAAACCCAGCGGCTCCACTGCGACACTGAGGGTTATCCGCTGGTTTTGTGTTTCCTGGAGGGACACCAGCGTTCCACACCACACTTGCAGAGTTCAACCCTTCATCCCCACCAATCGGCCCTCTTCTGAACAGTGCAGAGGAATAACTGAGCAATAGGAGTAAATTCCACTGCTGGATTCCCAAAGACACGAAAGTGTTCCCTACAAACATCATTGTCACATTTCCAGCTGAAGGCCAACAAGAAGGTCCATCCTGGAGCAAGGGGACCTGTCCCACTATGAACTCCCCGTACTCCACAGTCCCACTCTTACCTGAGCTGAGAGAACAGATCAAGCACTCCCCATGTCCCACCCTGGACTCTCCCTGCTCCACATTCCCACTCTCCCAGAGCAGAGAGAACAAATCAAACGATCACCAGGTCTACCCTGGAACAAATAGTGGGACCTGTCCCACCCTGGACTCCCCCTGCTCCACATTTCCCCCTCCCAGAGCAGAGAGATCAGATCAAACACTCACCAGGTCCAAGTCAAAGCGGATGAACTCCAGCCCAGACACCAGCGTTAAGAACAGGGTCAGATGATCGTGGCTGCAGACCAGGGCGTTCCTGCAGTGGGGGTGAAACAAAAGAGCTTCACAGACGTGGGAAGGAGGAGAAGCAGCTACAAGAGCCCTTCTGTTTCCTCAGTGGTGTCTCTGAGCTGCTCCAAACAGCCCTGGAGCTCAGGCAGCCACCACGTGCTGTCCCCAGACAGAACTACAGCCGCATTTCCAAGTGTCCAGCAGAGCTGGATCCTGGGATGAGAGCTCAGCATCTTCTTGGAAACCATGATAAATACAAAGGGGACTGCAGAGCAAAAGCAGGAACTAGGAGAGAGTCTTGCAGGGCCTCTTATCTATATAAGAGCAGAGTGCATCCACATCTGGGACCTTTAAATTAATCACGTAAATCCCACAAGGACAAAAATCGGACCCCGATCAACTTCTTGTTCCCCACTGGCAAATTTGGGCTGGCTTGTGACAAGAAGGAATGCCTACCAGTGCCCAAAGGAGAAAGAGCTGGGATACTCACTTGACATAGTACTTGTGCAGCAGGCTCAGGTTCTCCTGGAACAGCCTCAAGTAGCTCTCCAAGGAATTCTCATTGAGGGCAAGGTACAGCCAGGCCCGGCCTGAGAACAGAGCAGCAGAGAGAGTTATCTGTGGGGAGACACCTGAGAAGTGAAACAAGGCTGGAAATAACCACGAATCAGTTAAAACAGAGCAGATTGTTCATTTGTATCATTTGAGGGGAGCAACTGACAGTGGGGGAACTGTGGGGTGGGAAATACCAGGGAGGGATTCGTGATTCAGAGTGGGAAGGGGAATAAGAGTCTGGTTGAGAAGCAGCCACACAACTGTGCCTGTGTAGGGAGATGGGAGCCCTGCTGGAAGTGCCAGGAGACAGGAGAGGTGGGGGGAGAATCGCTCCAAATCAGCCCGGGTGTGATTTGACACCAATCCTGGTGCAGAGAGAGGTGATGGTGGAGCCTGTGCTCAGCTCCATTCTCACCAGCAGGGCCTTGGGACATGGTGGGTGTTGGGATAATCTGGCAGAGAGGATCTGGGCACTGTCCTGCACCACAAGCAGCCTCGATGGTCCCAAACATCCCCTACGGACAACTCGGACAGCAGGGAAAATGCAGGATCATGCAGACAACAGTGAGACACTGTGGGGTGAGAGGGGATGCTCCCATCTGCCAGGACCCTTCCCAAGGGCATGACCCCACAGGGCTTCCAGCAGACAGGACCCTTCCCAAGGGCACGGCCCTGCAGAGCTCCCATCTGCCAGGACCGTTCTCAAGGGGGTTCCAGCAGCCAGGACCCTTCCCAAGGGCACAGCCACAGAGCTCCCATGTGCCAGGAACCCTTCCTGAGATGCCCCTACAGAATTCCCATCTGCCAGGAACCCTTCCTGAGAGCATGCCCCTTCAGAATTCCATCTGCCAGGAACCCTTCCCAAGGGCATGGCCCTGCAGAGCTCCCATTTCCCGGGAACCCTTCCTGAGGGCTTGGCCCCACAGACTCCCATCTGCCAGGAACCCTTCCCACGGGCACAGCCCTTGGGTTTCAGGGCAGCAGAAGCCTCAGCACCTGATCCTGAGGCACAGTGACATTATTTCTAGACCCCGTGTGGTTATGGCAGGACTGCCACCTCCTCGGAACAGGCTGCCCATGGAATCACCATCCCTGGGAGTGTTCAGAAAACGTGTGGATGTGGCACTTTGGGGACAGGGTTTAGTGGTGGATCTGGCAGTGCTGGACTCAGTGTTGGACTCAGTGATCAGAGAGGTCCTTTCCAGCTTTAAGGATCCCACGACTCCTTGGCCTGACAAGTGAGCTGGGCTGTGCTGGCTCCCTCAGTCTGCTGGCAGCCCCTCAGCACAAGCTCCCCCGGTGTCCCCAGGCTCAGGTCTGCCCTCAGAGCACTCACTGCGGCCCAGGTTGGTGGCCACGTGCTGCAGCACCTCGATCTGCTTGACGGCTTCTCGGCGCGTGAAGTGAACCACCAGCACCCAGTACCCCGAGGAAAGGTCCTGCAGGCTGGAGGGAGGGAAAGGCCCAGAGGAAAATTAAACACAAAGCTTCGTTATCTCCGTCCCAGCTCCCGCCTAGGTGGTTTCCCCGTGCTGAGGCTCCACACCAGGCTCTTCCCATGAGGAAAAGCAGCATTCCAGAGGGGGGCTCCGGGCTCACCCGTAGAGCAGAGCGTGGTCCAGGTGTTCACAGAGCCGCTGCAGGACCTTGTCGTGGTTTCTGATGGCTGGGGTCTCGTCCTCACAGGCAGCAAAGTAGCTCTGCAGCTGCAAAAAGGAGATGGGATGGCTGGAACGCCCTTCTACAGCCCTTGGCAAGAAGGTGGAGATGCCAAAATGCTCCTAACCAGCATTAAGCAGCTTTTTGTAATCTCTTAGCTTGCTAAACCCTGATGCAGGTTACTCACAGCGTGTAGCTGTGGGTTTTAAGAGTCCCCTAAAGGAAGTAACTCCAGGGAGAACCTCTCCCGGTCTTACCCACATCTCAGACACCCCAGCAGTGTGGTGGTGGCTGCACAGCCAACTTCCCCGTTTCCTGAGCAGCCTCTTCCCTTTCCCCTCACAGCCCACAGCGCAGTGGAGTGTGGTGGTTCCTCTACAGCCATTGCAAAGCGGTTCAGAACAGAAACAAACCCCAGCTTTGCTCTGCTTCTGGCTCTGCCACGGATGAGGACCCTCCTCAGTCGAGGGTCCTGCCATGGGAAACCCTGGCTGGGGAGAGATGCTGCTTCCAGGGATAAAAGCTGCTCCGAGTCCAGGAGCCTCAGTGCTGCTGCACCATCGCTCTGGGCCAAACCTGTGTGAAATCCCAGCAGAATTTCGGTGTCGTGGGCACAGACAGAGGTTTGACTGTCACAGGCAGCTCCAGTGGCCACAGCAGTGCTGGCTGTCGATGCCAGCCTGCCCCAGGCTTTCAAACACAGATGTCCTGGCCACAGCAGCAGGACCCAGATGGAGGCACGGGCACATGGAAGGCAGTTCCATAAATCCCAAGTTATTTCCCTCTGCTGGGGTGAGGCTACATCAGGGAATCCCAGAATAGTTTGGGCTGGAAGGGACCTTAAAGCTCATCTCATTCCACCCCCTGCAGTGTAGCCCAGGTTGCTCCAAGCCCCGTCCAACCTGGACTTGGACACTTCCAGGGCTGGGGCAGCCACAACGTATCGTGCCGCTTTCTCACAACTCAGGCCCATCTGCCTCACTCTGGGTTACCCCTGGACTCAGGCCTGGCCCTGGGATGCTCAGTGCAGCATCAATTGCTTTTCTGCTCCTGCAAAACCTGCTCGAAATCCTAGAAATCCCCTTGCACCCAAATCCCATATCCCTTCCCAGCTGACCCCCGGCCTCCTGCTGCCCCTGGAGCTTACAGATCTATTTAGGTCCCGTCTCACACAGACTTGGCATCCAGGCAGGGAGATTACTCGCCCAGGATGTAATCCCAGCGGGATGTGCCATGGCTGTTTGCTGGCAACGAGCAGGAACAGCTCAGCTGAGCCAGGCCAATATTCCAGAGAGTGCATGTAACAGTTTAGTGAGCTGACAGATCTTTGCCAAACCTCACCAGTTACGTGATAGATTTCAAAAATCCCAAAACTTGACATTATTGTGTTCATCGAGTCCAACCTGTCCCCAGAAACTGGTTTCTCCTCCTGAATTATTACTAGAGAAGCTCCTTGAGAAAAATCATCCAGTCTCAATGTGCAGGCATCAAAGGGCCAGAGAACATCTCACAGACCCTGGGAACTGATCCTGACAGCACTCAAATCATGAACACACTGAGCTCCAACACCCTCCTGGCTTGAAGACCTTGAGTGCCTCTGGAGCTCTTAGGTAAGATGGGAGAGCCAGGCGTGTTCCTGCACGGAGCTGGTCCCAGCCCTCACGTGGGAAAAAAACTGCTGAGCCTGAGAAATCCTGGCCAAATTCCCTCCTCCAATGGCACAGCAGCCGTCCCTGCCCTGCCCATTCCAGCAGGTAAATCCCCTGGGGAAGGAGATGTGCAACAGGGGGGTGTTTGCAGGGGCACCTGTGGCTGCTCCAGAGATCCACAGGGTTTTTCACAACACCCAAGTGAGACCTGAAGCATTGCAGCTCAGCAGCTCCCTATCCATTTTTGGGAAGGAGCTGTCCCAGAAGATTCCCACTATCAACCCATACCCAAGCAGAGAGGAAAATTCCCTAAAATGCCCCTATCCAAGAACAATTCCAGGAGCTACCTGCAGCCAGTGTTGGAAGCTGCACAATGACACAAGAGGAAGAAATACAACCATCATTTAGAGCCATATCCCTCAGGATGGATAGAATGAGCCATGGGGATAGGAGGCAGGAAGGAAAGACTTCACAGGCCATGAGCCTGTGAAATTCCCAGCTGTGTCCCAGCCAGGCTGTGGGCCCTGCAGAGCTGGGGCACCCTCAGAGGAGGTTCTGGATGTTTCTGAGCTGGACTGGGGAAATGCAGCTGTGGGGGAGAGCTGGGGAAAACAAAAATAAACCAGGCACTCTGTTAGCTCACCACTGAAAAAAAGGAGACACAGCCTGGGGAGGTCAGTGTGGAGGGGACTTGCAGCCTGTCTGACTGGAGGAATCCCCCCTGACAGAGACACTCCAAGCCTGGGCAGCAAGAGATGAAGAAATAGAAGCATTTCCTCTTTTTTCTTTCCTTCCTTTCCCAAAAATAACTCAGAACTCTGTCACACTTCTTGCTGCAGCCAGTTCACAGCTCCCAGCCTTCTCTGTGGCTACAGGGACTGATCTGCTCCCGTCATCTGAGGGTGCAAACCATCAGCAAACAGTGGTCGTCTCCATCTAAAAATATGGATTTATCTTCCCCAGAAAAGCCCAATCTTCCCCCAGGAAGGGGTTTAGGTTTTGAAGGGCTCATTCTGTGTTACACCAAGGCTTGGTGTCCCTTTCAGCTGCTCTGCAGGGAGCACTGACTGAGCCTCCTGCTCCACACAAAGCAACTCCCCCTGCATCACATCCCCTTCCTGGGGAGGCTGCTGGAAAACCCACGGCCATATCCACAGCAAACCCTTCCCAAAAGGCTCAGAGCAGAGCCAGAGGCTGAGCTGGTGTGACTGTGCTTTGCTCAGAGTCACGGGGTCACCACCAGCCCTGAGCACGTGGGATCGGCCAGCGGGGAACGCGCACTCAGCACTCTGGGACGGGGATTGGGGCGCTCTGAGTCACGACCTGGGGGGAGCTGTGGGTCACGGGGCAGCACACGAGGGCTCACTGCCACCAAGACGTGCCACAACATTCTCCAGGTGATGTTGCACCCAGGGATGGTGCTGTTCCCAGCATCCCTCCAAAACAAACACGGACGGCTCCCAGCTCCGAGCCCAGGACCGTGCACTGCTCACTGGAGCACAACAATTCCCAACAGAGAGCAGGCAGCTGAATCCCTGCCGAGCTACCACGTGTCCAGGGAGGGAGCAAGACAGAACAAGCCTCGGGATCTCCTGGGTGGAGTCAGCCCTGCAGCCAGGGTGGGGAAAGACTTGCAAAAGCTGGTGGGGAGGCATTTTCGGCTTGGGAAGAAGAGTGAAGACACACAGAGGAAAGTTAGGATGAAACAGCTTTCCCAGCTGGGCACAAAATCCAGCTGCATCGTTTCCCCAAGATCCAGTGCTCCATGTAGCTGAAAATTTGTAGGAATTATGCCCAGGAGCATTGTGGGGCAGAGGATGGTCCCAGCACCTGACCCTGATCGTGGTGATGGCAGGAGCGATGTGGCACTGCCCCAGAAAATGGTATTTTATGGACAGTTTATACAGAGTCCCCTGTAAATTGTTATAAAACACACACAGATAATTGAACTGGCCTCTCCCTCATGGCAGCTGTTGGACCTGTCTGGGAGGTGGTGACCAAGCTTCCTGAGGCATTCCCAAAGCAGCTCCCTGACATTCCTGGGCAGTGAGCTGGGCTGGAGCACGGGAAATCAGGAAGGAGCCAAGTAATTGGGTTAAAAAGCATTAACTGAGCGTGACATTGGTCATCTCTGGGTTTTCTGGAGAGATGCTCTTCCCCTCATCTCCTCCCTGCTGCAAATCCAGGAGGAAGGGCTGAAGGCAGCTTGGATGGAGGACTCGTGAGGGGCACGGTGAATGCCTGGAGCCCTGACCCAGGGCTATTCATAGACATTCCTGTGGCCAAAATAAGCACTGCTGGCATGTGGACGGCATTCCCACCATCCACCAGGAACACTCCAGGCTCTGAGCACCAGCATGGGACAGGACCCACTCCAGGGAATGGGACAGAACCTGCTCCAGGGAACGGGACAGAACCCAGGGAACGGGACAGAACCCACTCCAGGGAACGGGACAGAACCCAGGGAATGGGACAGACCCACTCCAGGGAATGGGACAGAACCTGCTCCAGGGAATGGGACAGAACCCACTCCAGGGAATGGGACAGAACCTGCTCCAGGGAATGGGACAGAACCCACTCCAGGGAATGGGACAGAACCCGCTCCAGGGAATGGTCACAACAGCCCAAGCACTCGAGTTAAACCCTTGAGAGAACCCCGAGCAGACGGATGTTTGTCCAAAGGGAACAGAGACCGGGCTGGCACAGGGGAAATAATCACACCTCGTCCCCACAGAGGAGGAGGAGGATTTAATTGCTGTTTATCAATCACGAGTTGATTTTTGGCCGTGACACCCCACCCTGCGCTGGTACACACGAGGCCATGGCTTGGTCTGTTTTATAATCTATTAACTGCAGTGGTTCTCAACCAGTGTGAAGCTTTCCAGGCCCATCTGCAGAGCTCAAGTGTTGCAAGCAATGCTAACAAACCATGGGAGAGGTGTGTGCTGGGAAGCCCGTTCCCAAATCTAATCATTCTTCCGGTGCTCCTTTGAAATCTCTCCAGGAATTCTAAAAACTTATTAAAATGCTGAAATAGTCTCCTGACCTGTTCAGGACTGGCCACAACCCAACTGAGTCTCTATCTCCTCTTCCCAAATCTGCCCCACAGATGTTTCACCAGCAGCTTTTTCCAACACCAAGTTCATTTCCCTTGTTCTGCTTGGTATTTCCCTGGCAGGACAGATGTGGAGACAGAACAACAAACACCCCTTGCGTTCCTCAGCTCCTTAAGCAGGACAGGAAAGGGGAGAGGCTCTTCAAAACTCCCATTCCCACCCACAGCACATGGACTGGCGAGGGGTTTTTCCCAGTTGGAAGAGCTGAGTGCCCTCAGGAGTAAGTCTGGACTTTGTCCCAAGCATTGGCAGCTCAGCACCAAGCGAAGAGGCAGTGGGAAA